ACGCCGATGACTCCATATGCTCATATGGATATGATGCAACTCATTGCAACCTTGCAACAAGAGGTTCGCGAGTTGAGAGGACAAGCCCAAGCATCGAGGCAAACCGACTCTAATGTGACAATGCACACCGCCTCACCGGCGACATCGTCTACAGCATACCGTCCAGTTGGTACACCTAAATTGAAGGACTTCAAGGTCATTGAGTTTACCGGAGAAGAACGACACTCAGGACTTGGAGCAGATTGGGACTCGTTCAAGTACCAATTTGATGTGCAAATACATACGCTCGAGACCTTCGATCTCGTAGTCTGGAATGAAGAGCATCGACTGAGCGCTATGGCGATGTGCTTTCGCGGTGCTGCCTTTGGCCATTTCAAGTATCTCGCGGATCGAGGACTTACCGCCAACTACGACAGTGTCTGCAGGTCCATGAAGAATCGATTTTGCTGTAAGCTGAGTCAGTCTCAACTGGGAAAGCTACTTGAAGCACCCAAGAGAACCAACACAACGTGGACATCTCATATTGAGTACATGAGAGCTGTGGCGAGCCGTATGGATGGAAATCCAAGCAAGATTATCCTTGAATACTTCTGCTCATACTCTTGTCCATCAGAGGAGAGAAGCTTGCTGGCGAAGATTGATCAAGACAGCTTGGAGTACGGGATCGAGCTCGAGAAAGCTATACGATATCTGACCTCCATCACAGGAAACGGAAAGGGATTCGTCTGTAAGCCAAAAGGGGCGACGAATTTGTACGAGCGTGCTGAAAGAGACAAGCCGAAGTTTGAGAAGAAACAGCGGAAGTCAAGACATGAATCTGGTGATGCGTACAGTGCAGGAGGAGCCAAGAAGTATCCTAAGCGAGCCTATTTCTTCTGTGAGGATGAGGGTCATATTGCTTCAACATGCCCACTCAAGAAGGAGTTTCTGGAGAAGAAGAAAAGGTCAACAGGCTCAGCTAATGTTGTGGAGACAACTCGCGAGATCCATAAGACAGAAGAGAATGAATGTCAGTACGCATCATGCTGGGCGGCATTCAGATCCAGCTGGGATGAACGTGAATGGTTGCTGGACTCAGGCGCTAGTCACCACATATGCGGTACTGGATTTGCGTTGCAAAACGAGTACGCATGCAATCTGTCCGTGACTATCGCAGATGGTCGCACCATCAGGTCTTCCACGTGTGGCAACATCGTGATGGAGATCAATGTCAACGTAAATCAAAGCAAGATTCTGTTGCAAGACATGCACGTAATTCCAGGGCTGCGCAAAAACCTGCTATCGATTGGTCAACTTGCAAAGAAAGGTATTCATACCTCATTTACCGACCAAGGAGCGTCACTGTGGAAGCTTGACGACACGGGAGTCAAAGTTATTGCTGGCTGTGCGACGTGGGACAATGGGCTTTGCTACCTCAATGGGCACGCAGTCGAATCAGCTATTGCGAGTGTCGCAGCGAAACCTGATGACAGCATCATGGAATGGCATGCTCGACTCGGTCATGTCAACGTTGAGGATGTGGCGATGATCGAGAATCATGAATTGGCTGATGTTTTACACATCACTGACAAGAAGAGAAGTGACTGTGCTGCATGTCGCGAGGGGAAACAAACAAGAGGTGCTAAAGCCCAAACAGACACATCCGAATCAGCACCAACGGACGAGATTGGCGCCGTAATTGGAGTTGACATTAAGACAAACGTCAAGCCTCACGATTACAGAGGCTGCACTCACTCTTTGCATGTCGTTGACTATGCATCTAGCTATGGAGAAGTCTTTCCAATGCGTGTTAAGTCCGACTGGTTTCCGTTGCTGACTGAATTCATTACAAGATTCGAACGACAATATGACGTGCGAGTGAAGGTCATCCGGAGCGACGATGAATTTGACACGAACAAGATAAGGTCGTGGTGTGCACAACGCGGTATTCGACAGCAACTAACGGAACCAGACGAATCGACTTCAAATGGAAAGGTGGACAGGCGCCACAGGACTTTGTTTGACGGCATGCGGGCTATGATGTTTGATGCTGCCAAGGCTCCTCGGTTCCTATGGTCGGAAGCACTACGACATCAGTCATGGATAAGAAACCGACTCCCGACACGTGCGAATGGTGGAAACATGTCGCCTATTGAAGCCCTCACTGGACACAAGCCCAACCTTAGTCGCATACTAAAGTGGGGACAAAGGGTCACGGTTCATGTCAAGAGCAAGTCCATGGGTACCCGAAAGAAGTGTGAGCACGGAATATTCATCGGATATGATGATAAGGTGAAGGGTCATCGCGTGTACATCAAGCGTACTAAAAAGATCTTGGTATCGCAGCACGTCCAGTCAATAGACTCGGCCAAGAAGGGTATCGACAAAGATTTGAATGCTGGAAATGATGCACCCGCCTACAACATCTCTGACGAAGAGAGCCTACCAAGTCAAAGTGAAGATGGCTCGAGCATTTCTAATTGCGAGGAATCTGGGGTTGATTTAAACACTGGCAAAAATCAATCGCTAGCAGAACGACGTGAGCGTCGTCATGTCACCATGCCTGCTAGATATGCTGATGGTGCCGCAATGGTGGTTGTACGAGTGAAAGAGCCAAGATCCGTTAAAGAGGCCATGACTCTTCCTGAAAGGCAGAACTGGATCGATGCGATGAAGGCAGAGCTCGATGCACTTGTCGAAAATGGCACTTGGGAGGTTGTCGACGAACCAAACAAAGGTACAAACATCGTCGACAGCAAGTGGGTTTTGAAGATCAAGTTTGATGCTAATGGTGACGTTGAACGCTTTAAAGCAAGACTTGTAGCTCGAGGGTTTAGCCAGAAGTACGGCGTTGATTTCTCGGAGACATTCGCACCTGTCATCAAGATGAGCAGTGTGCGTTTATTTTTTGCACTATCAAGCTTGCTTGGACTACGACTGACTCATGGCGACGTTCCAAACGCCTACGTGAAGGGCTTGTTGCGCGAACTCATCTATATGAAGGCGCCAAGAGAGATGGACGTCGAGGAAAGCAAGGTACTCAAGCTGCTTAAGCCATTGTATGGGCTGAAACAGTCGGGTCGCTGCTGGAATGAGACGATGAACGAGTACATCATCGCACTTGGATTTAGTAAGTCACGACTCGACCCGTGCATCTATTACAAGCGCGACAAGAAAGAGCGGGTGATGTTCCTTGGGCTTTACGTGGATGATGTGCTGATCGCGTATCATGACGAGGAGGAGCTGCGCGATGTCACACTGAAGCTGGAAGAACGGTTCAGCATCAAGATGCTCGGACCAGTGAAGAAATTTCTTGGTATCACAGTACACGAAACCCAGCAAAGTTATTTTTTGTCGCAGCAGGGCATGATTTGTGACGCCCTCCGCGCGTTCAATCTGGAACATGTCAGAACTGTAACGACTCCAATGGATCCAAACACAGGTTATAATGGTGCTGACAGTGAGGAACTAGTGGATTTACATCGTGTACGTGAAGCTCTCGGTACGCTACTTTGGATTGCTAATTCTGCACGCCCGGACATAGCGTTTGCTACCAACTTTGCGTCAAGACATCGCGAGAAGCCTCGTAAGTGCCATTGGGAGCTGATCAAACGGATTTTTCGCTACCTTAAGGGCACATCGGATCGTGGTTTGCGCTACTGGAAGTCAAGTGAGGCTGTTTCAATTGAAACACTTGAGGTCAACATTTGGTCCGATGCTGATTGGGCTGGTGATCGAGTCGACCGAAAATTAACGAGCGGAGCCTTCCTTTCGATAAATGGGCGGCCGATAGCATGGAGTTCAAAGAAGCAAGCCGTTGTTGCGATGTCGACTATGGAAGCAGAGTTCATCGCCGGTGCAACAAGTGTTTCTGAATGTGGATGGATTCGACAACTTCTTCATGAACTGCTCAGCATCAAGATTGTCCCAAGTATCATGGTTGACAACCAAAGCGCGATACGAACGATGAAGAATGAGATGGTGTCAGCTGCTGCAAAGCACATTGCTCTGCGGTATCACTTCATCAAGGATGAAACTAGCAAATGACTCGTAAGTGTGAAATGGTGTGCCAGTAAGGACCAGCTTGCAGACATTTTGACCAAGCCGCTACCGCGTCAAATATTCGAGGAGCTAAGATGTCAACTTCAGGTGGAGAAGCGCGAGTTACAAGGTAATTAGCTCATCACGGTCAGGAGGAGTGTTGCAGATCGACCGTTGCTGTCGCATAACACTTTACGTGATTTATGATCACGCCAGGTAAATGTTAACCACATATATTGTTGTAGTAGCCGATGATGATGCCAGGTCCATGGGAAGACGCAAGATCATTAGAGAGGAAACAATGCATGTCAGTGGTAGTGGTTAATACGTCAATATATTTCTCAGTTCACAATTATCCTCACAGTACGCAAGTACTACTACATCCAGCAGCGAAGAGTCGACTACTGAGTTCAAGAACTCCGGCGCGCACAAAGCTAGAGAGCGGACGCGTCGTAAACAGAGAAAAATAGCTGGCAGTGGGTAGTGGGTTGGCAGCTAGCTACTGCCAAAAGTCACCATATAAACGTAATGTTCCCTCAATCTGACCCGCTCTAGTTGACCTCTGTGACGGTTTTTCTGCTAAGAGAATATTCATGTTGACATCCAATAACTGTCAATATCATGGAACGAGTTCATTGATTACACTCGGCTACATACAGCTCCGTGTGCATTGCAGGTTGGTGGTCACGACACCAAGTGCAAGAAGAATGTTCAGGTCTGCCGATGATCTGCACGGCAAATGGCACCGAGGGCGGCAGCGCTCGACGCATGCATTCCAAATCGCAGGCTTTCATTCATGAATCCTTCCTGGCAACTCATGCGCTACGCCAATCCCTTCATTTTCATTCGTCTCTTTGTCGCTCGTCTCGTGCTGCTTTGTCTTCAATGCGACTTATGCATAGCCCATCGTCCTACAACGATTCACAAAGCGACGCTTTGCAGTCCACAAAGACCGCTCACCACTAGTGTCATGAGTGCATCTACATCTGCTCGTCCTGCGGTTCGCCTGCAACCTGCTCGTCCTCAGGTCCGTCTTCTTCTGTAGCGTACAGTACCTTGAAAACAGCTTGGACCAACGGATTCGTTTCGCTCTCTTCCGTCGATTGCAGCATGATTTCAACCTCCCGCAGCTTGTGGAAATAAAAGTCTCGTTCCTTCTCCAAGCTTTCCACCTGCCACCCCCACATGGCTTGTGTGAGCTTACGATGCAGACGCCCTTCGTTGAAACAACAACAACAACAATTACACGTACCATCGCCCGCAGCTCGCCACTCTCTTTCATCAAGTCCTTATTGTTGGCAACCAGCTCCTCGAGCTCTTTTTCCAGCGGCTCTGTTGCTGCAGCAATTGCAGCTTCCACGTCCACCGCAGACGCAGCAGAGCTAGCAGACGACCCAGTGCTACCAACAGGACGACGTGACGCCCCCATTGACGTCTTCGCAGGACGTGCTACCGTCGTCGTTGTGCCGGCGCTGGACGCGGTCCGTGCACCAGCTCTCGCCGTCGTCACGGCTGCTGCTGCTGCTCCGGCTTTACGACGTATCGGCGCCGCGGCCGTCGACGAGAACGCGGCGGCTCGGCCGCCAAACTTGTGTGTAAACTGTGCACCGCCTTTTCCCTTGTCGCGCTGGGCCACGGGATCATATGGCTGCCCCGACGCATTGCGCTCGTAAAAGGCCTTGAACCACTGCATGAACTCGAGGTTGTCCTGGTACTTGCCACGCACGAGCCGATCGACTTCCACGTGCTTGTCGATCTTGAGCTGCACAAAGGCCTTCTGCAAGACTTTGTAGTTCTGAATGTACTCGTAGTCCTTATTGGCCGACCAGTCGACTTTGCTCATCTGGACTCGGCCCGGGTACATGGCGTCCAGGATCTGGCAGGCCACGGCGCCCGTGCACGTCTGCTCGACCTTGGCGAGCGACACGCCGCAGAGCGCGTTGATCCAGTCCAAGATCTCCTTGCGGCCGACAAAGTACGTGCCGTCCATGAGGCTCATGCTCTGATCTGCTGCTGCCATGAGAGAGAGAGAGAGAGAGACGTGGCGGCGGCGACTGATGCGGCTGCTGCTGCTGCTGTCGAGAGGTTGGTCTGACTGCGACCGTCGCGTCGTGACGGGGTTTTAGAAACGTCGTGGATAGAAACGGTAGTACCGGTGGAGCAACCTCGCGACAGGTGCGAAACGAGACGCGAGAGAGAACCGGTTGTTGTTGTTTTGGTTGACGTCGTCGGTTTTTTTTGTAACCTGACTCGTTGGGGGTCGCGACAATGGCCAAGAAGACAACAGGTGCGGCGGCATGACGTAGCGCGAGCGTGTTGTTGTACAGTATTGACATGACTTTTGCGTCGTGTTGGGGCTGACGGAATACGGATGATGCAGCATCGAGGTCCAAGAGTAATGGCGGCAAGAAGCGCGACGGTAGCAAGAAGTCCAGGAAGAGTGGGATGTGCATGGCGCTGACGAAGCCCAAGAGGTACGTGCTGTCTGGTCGTACCGACGATACTTGTGATGCTGTATACTTAGTCAAGCTCGTGCTGGTTTGGCTTCGGATCTCTCACTTTTTGCTTTTTTCTCTGGCTGCTATGCGGCGAGCAGAGCTGTTGTCGCAACTCGTGTCGACAAGAGCGATCCTCAGCATGTGAAACGGCAGATGAAACTGGCCAAGCGCTCGACAACACCGGTACCGAACGAGTGGCGCAACTTTGACGAGCGTATGGCTGCCAAGCTTAAAAGCAGAACGTCACAGTCTACGGCCGCAGCGCCATCGACGTTTGTAGTGGCAGCACCGACGTTCCAGTTGTACGTGGTGCTGGACCCTTGACGTTTTTGTGTGAAGCTGCGGTTGTTTCTCTGATCTTATGCTGCTGCTGTTGCTGCTGCTGCTGTTGCTGTTGCTGTTGCTGCTGTACTGCTGCTTGTCTTGTTCTTGAAGTAATGCGAACCCCGTGCAGCCGAAGATGGCGGTGCGTGAAGTGAGAGGCTTTGACGGCTTCATGGCTGCGCTGGAGGCTCCGAAGGACGCGCCGACGGTGACGTTGAACCAAGTGACCCGCCCGGCAAAACCCGTACAGCTCGAGTACGGCAGCAGCAACGTGTTTGCCGTGCTGGATCGAGGTGACGAAGAGCAAATGCCAGCAGCTGTGCAAGCTGCGCCAGCGTTCATACAGCCGGCGACGTTCACATTTGCAGCCGCCAAGCAGACGTTCCCGCCGCAGTCTATACGTTGTTTGGAGACGCAAGTGGCAGCAGTCGAGATTGATCCGGATTTATGAGATGGCCATGTGGTAGGCAGCTGTATGTATGTGGTCGAGGGAACGTCAAGCATGTTGTTTGAGCCCGATCGCTGCTGTCAGTATTTTGATGCCTATAGTGACTGCACGCAATGGATTGCAAAAAGACAGGATACGTCGGCGTGCATCCGGTAAGTTCGCTTTTAGAAAGCAGATCACAGCTTGTATGTGTGTGTGTGTTTTTGACATCCGAAATGCTGCGTGTGTGGCGAACAAACAAAAACGCGCAGCCCATTTAACTCAAGTCCATTGACACACCCTTGTCGCGGTTTAGAAACGCGAACTTGCGCGACTGAACAAAGTTGCCGCGCAACATACGAGTCGCTCGTGTCACCGGTACCCCCACTGGGGACCAAAAAACCCACCAGCAAATTGCTACGTAGTTGCAAAGGGCGACGTATGTTGCACGACACTCGACCGCCCCCGAAGTTGCGCCTCGTTCGCCCGCTAGTAAATGTTGCGCCAGCGTCGCGCGACATTCAAACCTTCCGCTTCGCCGCCGGAAGAAAAGAGTGGGTACACGCACCGACAGCGCCGTCCACGCCTCGCACCCGACCGACGACCGCCACGTCCGACCGCTCAACGGGGGCGGACACTACTCGCTATCGACGACAAAGACGCAGTAACAGTGGCAGTGGCAGCAGCAGACGGACTCTATGGGCAGCGCCAGCAGCAAAGCAGACGACGTCGATCCCAAACATTTGGGCGCCGACCCGAACGATCCGAACGCCTTTGCGCTGCACCAGCACCCGTATTACAGCCAATCAGGACACGACAAGACGCACCAGCAGCCGACTCGGGAAGACGGCAGCTGCGTGGAGACTGCCCGAGACAGCACGCGGCCCCAGTCGCTGTCGTCGTCGGCTTTGCAGCAGCAACAACAGCAGCAGCAGTGCGATGCCGACGAGCACAGTACGACCGAAGCTATGGACGTGGACCTCCCGCCCGCGTCGCTGGACGGTGCGCCGTACTTGAACGGAGAAAGGACCGGTACAGCTCCGTTGGACGGGCAAGCCGAGCGAAACAGGGGGCACGGGACCGACGCGACGGACGTTGCAATGGCGCCTCGCGAAGATGTGGTGCCTATGGTGTTCAAGTGGGAGCACGGCGGCCGCAATGTGTTTATCACCGGCACGTTCAATGGATGGGACAAGCAGTGCCCCATGCACCGCTCGGGCAATGACTTTACGTACATTGCTAACCTGACACGGGGGAAGCACATGTACAAGTTTGTCGTGGACGACGACTGGCGGTTTGCACCTGACCAGCTCACGATGGCCGATGTTGAAGGCAATGTGAACAATTATGTCGACGTGTCGGAGTTTGCTCCGCTGTCGGACTTTGACGGGAAGAACAAGGCACTGGATGACGACGACGACGACGCGGAGAACCCGTACTCGCGGTACATTCCTGAGATTGACGAATACACCAAAGAGCCCCCTCCACTTCCGCCGCACTTGCGGCACATCATACTGAACAAGGTACGTCCATTTCGTGCGAGTGGTGCATGCGCAGACTGTTGCGCTGGTCTTGACTGGTGTGTTGTGTGTCTTGTGTGGGATGCCTTGTCGTGTAGGCGCCGCCAACAGTCGATGGACGATTGCTGCCTGTGCCGCAGCACGTGGCGCTCAATCATCTCTACTGCACGGCAATCAAGGACGGCATGATGGTGCTCGGCATCACCAATCGCTACAAGCAAAAGTTCGTGACTACCGTTTATTATAGCCTCATGCCTGGCGCCAACTAGCTCTCGTTGTATTGGCACGAGCTTGCGGCTTTGGACGACGACAGCAGCAGCGGTGCCAAGGCAGTCTAGTCTCATGATTTGATCTACTGCAGAAGACAGCGAAACGAGTAGAACACGGGAGGAAGAGTGGAGCCAAATCGTACATGATCCAAGCGGTGGATACGGCGTGGGCATGCAGTGCGCATGCGCTGCTCCGCTTCTGTAGGAAGTAGTAGACAAGAGCTCTTGTAGCAAGGGGCTGCTTGCACTGGTAGTGTAGTACAGCACATAGTGCGAAAGTGGCAGGCCATCGCCAACCTAGGAAGGGCACAGCTTTACGAACAAGAACAAGCAATGAATGGGAAGCAGGTACTGTCCCCAGCCATCGCCACCACCACCGACACGCTCACACGCATGTAACACACGGCAGCCATTTCACGCAGCGACGGAAGAAACAATCTACATTTTTTCACTCTTCAGCAGCAGCACCACCAGCAGCAAGAGCGCCCGCTTCACCAGGTCAACGTCAGCTTGTTGACAACTGTCCTGCCATGTCGGCCTTGTCTACCACCTTCCCCTCCTCCATCATCGTCGTCGTCACGAGACCCCGCACTCTTCTCCTCGACTTCCCGTCTCGCCTCTTGTCACCAGAGCGAGCTGAGCCCGAGCAGGTGGACGCATGGCCACGTCCCGGCAGCAGAGTTCTCTGCCCCTGGAGACTGTCCGACTGCATCGTTATACGTAGATCTCGGCCCACAAGAAGAGGAAGAGCGAGCCAAAGCCCAGCAGCGATGCTCCGATGACCGACAGCACCAGCTCGACAAGCGCGTTCTTCTTTGGCGCCACAGCGCGTGTAAAGAAGAGCGCCATGAACACAAGTCCATTGAGCAAGAGCGCGACCGTGAGCGAGCCGTACCGCTGGGGATCCACAGGACTCGTGTACGGGATTTCCTACAGCATCGAACGGCAACGAGAAGAGAGATACATAGAAGAGAGAGAGAGAGGAAGAGAGAGAGAGAGAGAGAGGAGCAAAAGCGCAGGTCAGAACCGGTGAAGGAGTCTGTCTGCACACGCAGACGCAGCAGACGAACGCGCACGTACGATCTCCATCGCGACTCTCCTTTGATCGACTGACACGTAGGTAGAAAGTGAGCTCGATTGGCAGGTTGTTTGGTAAGTTCGTTTCGCTGGTAAGTTCGTTTCGTTGGTAAGTTCGTTTCGTTGGTGAGTTGCACGTAATTGACACGTAATTCGAGTGGTTCACTCACGATCGTTGGTCGACTGCAATGGTACGTTTGCTAGCTACCATAAATACGAAACTTACTTGGCATCGTCGTCGTCCTGCATCGCTTGCTTGAGTCGCTGCACGAGCGCAGCTTTGAACCCTTTTGTGTCAAGTCCTCGCTCCTTCAGCTTCGCCCGCAGCTCGATAACTTTCAGCTTATCGACATTGACGGCCGCACGAACCTCATCGTCATCAGCTGTCTTAGCAGCCATACCCGACTGACTTGTCGATTTGGCCTGCTCGTTCATTGCAGCTTCGGCTGTCTCGCTTTCGTTGCTGACACTCACTCGGACGGGTTCATCGGTCTTCTGCTTCGAGCTCTCTTGCGCAAGCTCCACTGCCTTGTCTTCCTCATTCACGCGACTAGGAGATGAAGCCTCTGCATCGCTGTGATCCACGACTGGGCCGTCCGCATTTGCCTGACGTGAAGCCGACCGCCCGCTTTCTTCGCGCACCTCTAGTCGTACAGGAGACCTGCGATCGTCCTCTTCAGCAGCACTCATTGGTTCCGCTGATTCATCCGCCTCGTTATCGGATGCACGTTGCTCGACGGTATCCTTGTTGTCGACTACCGCCGCTGGAGATCCGTCGCTATGCTCACTCGCCCTTTCCTGTCCACGCTCCACAACCTCTTCGGGCTCTCTAGACCCTTCGTCCATATCCAGGTCGCCTTCGTCCATTGCATCCTCCTCCTTCTCACTCGTCGCATGCCGGTCGGCAGTCTCTTCAACTCCGTGCTTCTTGATAGCCTTCAGATCTTCCCGAAGCTGTTTCAACTTGGTCGCAAACTCGGCTTCCATCTTTCTCAGATTCTCTTCGTGACTCTGTTCACTAGCTTTGATCTTTGCTTCATGGGCTTCCATCGACGCCGCAACAAGCTCTTGCGTCTCTTTCGTGTGCTTTGCGGGAAGATAGTTGATCGGTGGTGACGCAATAGTGACCAAAAACTTGGACTGGCGTTCGCTCTTCCGAATCATCTGCAAGTGCTCCAACTTGGCGCGCGCAATCTGCTCGCTCCGATCAAGTTCAGTGCGCGCCACCAACGCCTCCAGTCGCGCAACCTCGGCCTCTTGACGGGCTTGGTCTTCCAGATTCTTGCTCTGTGCTCTCTCTTTTTCCTCGGCCTCGTGCTGCTTTGTGTCTTGACGTTTGAACAAGTCCGTGTCCTTTTCAATCTGCCGCTTTGCTTTGCCCAAATGTCCCATCAGTGCACCAAACATGCGCCGACTGCGTGCAATACCGTCCTTCTGCGCATACGGAGCCACCGCACGCTGCTTCCGCTCCTGCGCACGAGCAGCGTCCGACGACGGCGACGTAGTGGCTTCCCTGCTAGTCTCCGCTCTCACCACCAGGTGACCCGTACCTTCCGGTCTCGCTACTGCGGAGTGTAACTTCTGTCTCTTTACTGCCTTGCCCAGTGGACGAGCATTGTCGTCGTTGTCACGCTTCCCCAGTCTCCACGAAGCGTTACCGCGCGTATTGTTCCTATCCGTGCGCTCGAACGCCTGTCTGGCGCCACGAGTTGTCTTCTCTCCCAGACGTGCAAACACACTGCCTCGAGCTGCAGCTCCTCGTCCAGTTGTTTTTGCCTTCCCGCCTTGACGTTCTATTTGTCATACAATGAGCCACTAGAAATGAGCAAGTGGTGCACACAGATGGGACGCCCACACATCTACGAAGTAGGGAACAAAGAGCAGAACGCACTCGAGTTGATGAGCGCCTCGCGCTTCTTCGCAAGCGCCAGCAGCTCGCGCCGCAGCGCACGTTCGTCCGCCGACTCCACTTGATCGACCATCGCTGCTGCTCTCGGTTTGACACGCTCAATGGGATTGGCTGGCAAAGCGCAACATTACCTGCCTCTTCGACTGTGTCGACAACATACGAGCGATCATATGTTGCGCGGGTGACCTGCTTTGGCGTGCTTGAGTTGCTACAAACGTTGTTGTAGAGTTGTTGCAGCGCAGCAACGTGGACTGCTTCTACTCTGTCATTTGGGTGTGGCCTGGACTGGCGATCGTGTGGTTTCGAATCGGCTCTGAACTACTTACTGGCTCGACTGAACGGTGGGTATCCACGAGCCTATGATCAGGTCCAGAAATACACTCGAGACAGTATCGTAATCACACGATGGTCAGTGCACAACAATGTGCCACGGAGTGCTACGTCATGAGTACATCAATATGCGACTTGACCAGCAGACTCGTCGTCTGGGTTTACACGACACAACGTGACAGCCATCTTGCAGTGTGTAAGCAAAGCAACTCGTGCCATGTTTCAGTGGTAATGGTGCAAGTTGCTGTACAAAAAAACGCAAATGCACAACGCCCTGTTCAAGCCTACCACAACCGCGCACACCCAGTCTTGCTGAACACGTCCGGAGATCTCCAGCCGAGCAAGCGGTGCGAACTCAGCAACATCCACGCGGTCTCGCTTAGCATAGCCCTTCACGCGCCATCTCCGACATGCGTTCCGACAAGCGCTCCTTGATGATTTTTCGACGCTTGCGGAATGATGTGCGCTGTACAGCAGACACAAACGTCAACAGGATGCAGCCACTGTTAGCTAGACAAACAAGGATAGGTCAGCCAAAACAGAGATTCGGTACGTACCAGGCGACCTTCCTTGCTGAAAAGCTCGAGAAAGCCGTGCTGCATGTCATCGGCTTTGCTGATCCACTTGTGCACGAATCCGTCCACGTCGTTGCGAACCTTGTCAACTGCCATATCAAATTTGATACTCTTCTCCTTGATGAACGGCACGTTCATGTCCTTGCCAGAGTACCCGCGCTGCAAGTTACGACGAATGAATGTGTCGTACTCGGCAATGATGCGAATGATCAAGTCCGACGTCGATATTCCATTCGTCCGTCGGGTTTCCAAAAACTTGCCCATGGCCTTGATACGTGCATACACATCGCCTTCTGATGCTTCGCCCGACGTATCCGAGTACGGCAGCGCATCGTGACACACGTAATCAATCTGGTGTTTCTCGATAAACTCATCCGAGAGCACCCACGGCGCGTCTTCAACCACTTCGTCGACCCACTTGCAGTGACGCAAGGACTCGTAGCGCTCCTTGTCCGACATGACCGTGCGACCCTTGAGCTTGTGCGTGATCTCGTCGCTGCAACAGCCAACAATCAAGTACGTGTTCGGATACGCCTCTTTGCACTGCTGCAGGGCCTTTGCATGGCCAAAGTGGAAGAGGTCAAAGATCCCGTCGGCGTACAGCCGCAAGGGACGGCCAGTCACAGTTCCCGGCTCTCCTTCTTCCAGCTGCTTGCGGTAGGGCTCTGTCTGCGGCTCGTCGTCGCCCTCGTAGCTGCTCCCACTGCTGTTGTCGTTCGAGCTGTGCACTTCCGACTCTCGATCCGCTTTCGTCTCGTCGGCGCTCGCAGCTGCACAGTGCTCAGCCTCCGCTTCCTCAGCCTCTTCGGCGTTGTTCATCTCCGTCGCACGTCGCTGCGCCACAAGCCACCAGACACACAGACACACAGACACACGCGCACACACATATACATTCGTCAATACTGTCTGTTTCCGTCCCCAGGTCGACCGACGCCCGTCCTACGATTGGACGACCGGCGCGTGGTCCGACGTGACGCCCGTGTCGCGCAAAAAAGGGACGCGCACGTTCGCACCTTTCTCGCCATCTTTCGGTCTGCGTGTGGAATTGGCTACTGATGGAAACCTCCTCCGGCCGGTCGAGGGATCGGCTTAAGTGCGAAAAAGAACGTCGCGCAAACATGTGACACGTGAGGCAGAGCGCGCGGCGAGTCGGTTCAACATGACGATATTCGTTTCCACAGGGGACGTGAGCCCCTACATAGCAATAAATAGACAGAGCGAGCGAGCGATAAGCAGACAATACAGAACACGATTGACGTGGTGGATCGTCATTGATGGCAGACGGGGTACGACCATGTTGTATGCAGCGTCCACGTCTTGACGTTTTTTATCCCACTCGGCAATACAGAGAGCGACACGACGACGTAGAGCGGTGTATCCGTTTGTAGTGTAGCGTCCTCTGCATCCTTTGCGTTACGACGACGCTTGACATACTTGTGCGACCCGCAGACTGCCCGAGTAGAGCTTGTGTGGCACATTTGCGAGCCGGTGGCGGTCTGTGGCTGCAACGGGCTGGACGACGATCGGTACTTGCCATTGGAACATTTGCCGTGACGAAGTGGCGCTCGGGCTCAAATCCTGCGCTGCGGGAGCACCAGCTGAGAACTCAAAGCGTAGCAGCCACTGGAAGCGCACGAGGTCCGTGTTGATCGTCGGCAGTGCGTCGTAAGGAATGCTGAAGCGAGCGTTCGTCTGTAGCACGCCCAACGTGCGCTCACGGAAGCTCCCAAAGACCTTGGACTGCACGACGCGTCCAGGCTCGAGTGCTCGTGTCGACAGGATCTCTTCGAGGCACAGTGTCGCTGATACTTCGTAGCACGGGATGCTGGCACGCGTAAAGTCAAACATGCCCAGCACAACGTCTCCTGGCTGGTACGCCTGTTTCGTCAGCAGGAACCGCACCAAGTGACTGCTGTCTTTGCCAATCGTAAAGATGCTCGTCTGTGCACGCTGCAGGAGCTCTGTTTCCACACGGCCGTGCATGAGTGAAGGACGCAGCTCGAAGGCCAGTTCGCTGCCTTTGCGAACTCCGACAGGTGCTGGCGCTGCCGACGAGGCAAGTCGGCCAGCACGAGTGGTGCCGTCCGCGACCTGCTGCTGCTTCAACGAGCCCTCGGCACTCTTGTCGCCGGCCATAGCTTCACGCTCGTCCGTGTCGAGACTCGCTTCTCGGTCACTTGCACTAGCAACTGGACCGGCGTCGAACTTGTACTCGGGGCCATGAACATCAAATGGCAAGTGTATCGACACTGCTTTGCTCCCAGGACTTGCAGCTTGCACTGTGATGGAGACCAGATAGAAGACTCGAGCCGAAGTGCCGCGGAAGCTTGGACACATGCTCTTGGGCAGCGCAAAGGCAAACTCCCGCGTGCAGCGCTCTGCCGTCTCCTCCCGAGCAGCTTCGAGCGAAGACGACACCGCCTCAGCTGTATCTCCATGGCTCTTGTGACTGGCACGAGCTTCCTGCTCGGACTGCGTTGGTGCAATGTTTATATCCGAGAGCAGCACCGACGGCGCAGCGCGGAAGATGCACGTGCCCGTGTCGCCCGAAAAGTTGCGTACATCGGGCAATGACGCGGTCAGACTGTCGTCCAGGAGGTCGTGCTTGGACATGTGACGGTCGAGTCCTGACTGGTCTGGAGTGAGTGACGAAGCGCGACCAGATGACGGCAACTGCATCACTGGAAGCGTCAGGAGATTGCTGTCCACAGCAATGTGGCCGTGGACTTGGGCGATAACGTATGCGATCTCCGTGTGCGCGTCAGGAATCTGCTGACGAGTGGCGAGTCGCACGACGCCCTTGACGACACCTCCCGGTCGCGAGTAGCGGCTTGCGAGCTGAGCGGTTAATGTGCTGCCGTCGCTGGACTCGACGACATGGGGAGCCATGAGGAGGACGAGGAGGCCGATGCTGTTGTGGTTGTGGCGAGTCTCTCGTGGCGTCGAGTGATCATTGTGGAGTGCGGTACACCAATGGGAAGAAAGAGCGTGAGGAGCTCACGTTGAAGCTGTTGGTGCGAGTGGAGTGCCTCAGCGACTGCTTTGGCGCGTGATGTCGCCAATGAGCAGTGACTCTCTTGATTTGCTTTGGCGCTGGAGGCCGTCGGTCTATGTCGGATGTACTGACACGTTTTAACTGCTGTGCACTTGTGCCGTTGCAGAATACAGCACCTGTTTGATCGGCAGAACTGACAACGAGCACGTTGGTGTCTCGTCGTCCGTTGGAAAGCAGAGCGCTCAAACTCGACGGCCATGTGCAAGCTACGACTGCAATTTACACAAACCTATGCGGACAAAGATCGAGTCCTTACCGAAACAGCAGCTTGCGCACGGACGAACGGCTACACAAGATCGGACAAGGCAACAACGTCCGACCAGCTTATTCTGTCGGAGTCGCGACTTATTCATACAGCTCGTTGCTCTTCGTCGCGACATCACGAACCGCTTTCTGCACCTGTTGCGCAGAAGCTGCTGCCACCAGCAAAGCTTGCAATCCTATAGATGTGCAAGACAGGTTGCACGTGTAAGAACAGTCACGCATGGAGACGTTACGATAAGGTGCATGTCAGAGCCACGAAACACCAACTCACCACTCGAAAACTGCTTCTTCGCTTCGCGGAGATCACTTGGCGGAAGTGAACTAAACCAGAGTAGCGTATCCGAGTCTACCCCTGTACTTTTGCTGCTCTCTGCACCATCTCGTTTCGCTTCCTCGTTGCTCGGTCCTGCTTTTCGACGGTGCACGAGCGTCGCGCCTCTGCGTTTCTCGTCCACCTTCTGCCTCTTTGCCTCCGACGCGTCTTGCAGTCGCCACTTTCCGTCCCAGTCCACTGTCACCACAATCGACGCCTCGCTCTCTTCGTGGTACGAGATCTCACTCAGCGTGTGCGGCGGAAGTAGCATCCTGGCTTTTGTCAGCAATAGGAATCCCTGTATACTTCCATCTGTCGTCAGCTCCGCACCCCGACGTCCCGAAAAAAGAGCACCAGCCGCAATGTATGCGTTACCGCACGTCCCGCACCTTCTTGAGCTGATTGCAAGAGCGTTCCTGATCGTCTAGATACTGTTCAAGCGATGCTATGCCCTCGACAAGCGCATTGTCAGCGTCCACTGCGTCGACCGCCATGGCCGATCTCGTCGACGTTTGTGTTGTCCAAACTTGACGTTGTGGTCCAACTTTTGCACTAGACGGACAAAAAGGAGCTTCAGCAACTTTTTACTGCAAATATTGCAATATGGCTCCACCGCGGAAGCAGATATTGCAAGCGACGTTCGACGAGTGCGTGGCCGAGAATGTCGCGGACTTTGACATGTCCCTCGAGGAAGCAACGGCCGATGCAGTGCGCCAGTTCGAGTCACAAGGCGTCGATCTTGCCAACATCATCAAGACCAGTGGAGGAGGACAAGAGCCGCTGTCTCAGCGGCTGCAGCAGCTCCTCGCGGACCTACGCGAATGCTTAGATGGCAAAAAGGCACACAAGAACGTACTGGATGTGGTTGCAGAGCTACAGAGCGTCTGTGATACTGTTCCAGAGTCCCGTGTCGTGTCAGGACGGAACGGTGCAGTGGATACGCTGCTGACACTGCTGGACACGGACTCTGGTGCTGTAATAGCGTCTTGCAGTACGTTGCTGGTGCTCTTGTGCGCCGAAAACAGGGACAACCAGGACGGTGTGGGTGTTGCAGGTATGCACAGACTGGTGACAGTGTTACAACGAGAGTGGAAGGACGCAGAGCAGACGGTCGTGTGCGTGTTGGCGCTGGTGAAAGCTGCCTGTAGCAAGCACGAGAGCAACAAAGCACATTTTGCCAAGACGGGTGGTGTCCAAGTACTATGTAGCTACTTTGACCAAGCAAATGGCGATGAGGCGATGTCGATGGCGTTAGCGCAGTGCCTACGTGTGCTGACTATCAACGACGATCCCCGTGCGACGTTCTCGCAGGCACAGGACACGATTCGAGTTCTTGTCGAACGCGATGTGATTTCGTATTGTTCAGATATTCTGCGTCGCGGTGGACGCAGCGCCACAGCACAAGTATCAACTCTGTCGCTCGATCTGCTGGTCAACTGGCTTGCGGTGCTTGCACAAGTCGCCGTGACGAAAGAGAACTGCCAGCAGATCGCTGACCTGGATGGGTTGACCACTGTCCGGAAAGTCATGCGAGAGTATGGAGACAGTGCATCGGTAGCCAACCGCTGCATCAAACTTTTCCGAAACGTGGCGGCTGCCGACGAGCTGAAGCGTGTGATCTTGCAATCTGGATGCGTCGAACAGACATTGCTGATCATGCGGCGCTACGAGCCCAATGCGTCGATCCAACAGAACGCGTGCGCTACACTAGCAGCTGTTGCACTGCGCTCCCCAGAAAACAGTCGCGCGCTCGTCGAGCTCGGAGCGATCAGGCAGATCTCCCGAGCCATGCAGGTTCATGACAAGGACGTGTCTGTATTGCGCCAGGCCAGTCTAGCGGTGCGCAACATGGTGGCCCGCAATGTGGAACTACGCTCGCGCTTTTTGCACGATGAGCCAAAGCTCGAGTCACTGCTTCGTGAGGCGCAACAGTACCGGGGCTGTGGCGATGAAGCATACGCCGCGCTGCGAGACCTGGGCTGCGACATTCAGCTGTCCTCTTTTGGGATAAACGCTGCTGCCACTACAGGCTCTATCAGCGCATCTACAACCAAACTGTGCTTCAACCCGGTACAGCTACAATCCAACGAATTGCTCGACAGCGTCGAGGAGGTCTCGGAGGACGCTCCGTTCGCTCGCCAGTGACGCAACATCCAGTGCAAGTACACGCGACAGCAAGCAGTCAACGAATGGTATCTTTACTTCACTTTCACCTCTCCTGCTTTTTCGCTCGCGAGTCCGACCTACTTCGTCGTCCCTTCCTCCTACACGCACCACTTCTTCATCCCATTGTCCCCGGCTTCCCACCTCTCTCGCTCACGGCGTACTGTGCACTGCTACCAGTCACGCACATCGCGCTCCTTCCTTCGTTTGCCAGTCAGCTGCTTCGAGCAGGCAAGACACAACAGGGGCAAGGCCGCAACAAGAACGACACGCACTCTTCACTGCAGCAAATTCTCGTCCCATTGCGTCGACCAAAAGCGACTGGTAAAAACAGTGCGTACGACTACTCCGTCCGTGCGATCCGTGCAGCGACATGGACGTTCTATGCAATTGCCTGCCAACTCTGCTCGACGATCTCGCGCACGCGGCGATTGTATTCCCGTCGATTTTCTTGGAAAAGACGCGCTGCTTCCGAGTTTGCCGGCGAGTTCGGATTCGGGTCACACAGCAGCGACTGGATGGACGTCAGGATCGCCGAGATGTCGTAGATCGGCGACCACTGGTTCTGCAAAATGTCCAGACAAATCTGACCGTCATTGTAGACTGAGCGATGCACCAGAAGCAGTGACAGCAGTTTCAGTCAGTCACAACACGACAACTTGCTGCGGCAACAAAAGGCGGTACGACGCACGTACTGTTTGGATGGAACATCTTCGTGACAAACTTCACGGTCGGCGCCTTGTTCGGATAGTCTTCACTGAACTCGAGCGTCAGATTGAACGTCCCACCTTCCCACGGCGTGTCGTCGGGTCTGGTCATTTATGTGTGCAAGCAAAAAAAGAACGTGGAAAATAACCAACAAGATCAGAGTGCACATAAACACCACATACACACACACAAACAAACAAACACGCGGTTAGGGGTGCTATAAATGGGTACAGTCATGCGCAAACTGCGGCAACATGTACCCAAAAATAACGGCCTGCCAGAGCATGATGTTGTTGTCCATGGGGGCGCCCGAGACACCGGACGGCGGGTCGTTCTGCAACTTGCGAAAGTCGCGCATCAACCGACGGCGTGCAGCAGTAGACATGGTCAAGCGAGCGGCCGGCCAACGGGAAGAGCAGGCAGCGAAGCGCTGGAACTGGGCGCTTTTCCGTCGACTGACTGGTCTTTGACTTGATTTGACTATGCAACGCAGGTAGTCGGCACGCGGGTGTTCGAGAAAAAAGGGTTTATCCCTGCAAAAACGATTGCGATCGACTTGTCGGGAAAGTACGATGCTGTGCTCCGACGGCAGCCGAACTTAACGGACGCAGCATTGCGGGCAGTTGTACTGATCTGTCGGTACATATACGCCGGTATCCCGTGTTCGCCATCGTGGTATCGAACCGACGGAAAGCGGTCGCTAGCATCGCAAAGCGCACACAACGAGAAACGTCGCTGTTCGTTAAATCGGCCGTGTCAAAAGTTTGGTCCGACTCGACCATATCAATTGTTGCTGCTATTTCTGTTTGCCTCTCAATTCATGACAAACAAATCAAGTTGGCGTCATCGTGCGGTGTACCTGACCTTCTGTGCTGTGGCTGTCATACATCAGAAAAAGCGCGAGACCGACTCTTACAATGCTGATGAGACCTGTAAGGAAGTGCGAGTGACGGATATCAAAGCGCCCGTCGTCACGTTGATGCTGCTTACTCAATCTCGAAGCGATCGTCTATCCGAAGTGCCGTCGCTCTCACGTCAATGAAACCGAAGTCGATGCGGTGTATCGACACAAACATAGCCGTCATGTGGCATCATACCAACTCGCCGACGATCACAGCGCAGCCACAGTCGAAAAAGAGTTGGCATCGTCCAACTCGGTCCTTCATCCGTCTGACTTCACGCTCTCTATTTTCGATCGCACATGGCCTGGAAGCAGCGGACAAGAGTAAAAGAACAGAACACCTGTGGTCGGTCAGATGCTGTCCACAACGCAAGTGTCGAATACTTCAACGATCGATTGACTGGGCTTACCATGCACATGGGAGGTGCGGGCTCCGATAAATAGATACGAACCGGAGTGTATCGTGGATCTTTCTTCTTCCTGCTGTTTCCTGACAAGGTCTTGTCCTGTTGCCGTCGATCTACACTCCTGCTGCCACAACGCCTCTCTTGGCGTCCCGACCCACAGTCGTCTACGTCATCACCACACCTTCGAACAGCACCACGCGACTCTTGTTCAGCTCCTTGCACACTCTCTTCATGCTCTTTTCGCCAATCATCGTGACGTCGCTAATCTCCTGAATCGACCGCTTCGCATTCGTGTACGCGGCCACGAGGTAGATCACCGAAGCCGCCACTGCAACAGGCGGCTGTCCATTCGACAGCTCCAAACTGTCTGCCTTCTTTGCCACTGCATGCGCAATCACCTGCGTCTTACTTGGCAGACCGAGTCTCGAGCAAAAGCGCTGCACGTACTCTCCCGTTGTCGCCTGCTTGACCTCGAGATCCAGCCGACGTTGCAAGCTCATGAACGACTTGCCAATACGTCGTTTCGGAACGCCCGACGCGTCTTCAAACTCCTTGAGCGAACGAGCATTGCCGGCTTTTCGGCACGCGATAAACAGCACCGCAACGACCATGCTCTCGCGCTCGGGTCCCCGCATGTTGACGCCCTGCTTCTCAGCTTCTGCGTACACGTCGAGCGCAATCTCGACAATCTTCTTGGGCAGCGACAGGCAGTCTGCCACTTCTTGAATCCGCGTCATCGTGCGCTGCATTTTCTTCACCTTGGCACTCTCGGACGAGATGTTCGGCCGCTTGTGCTTGCCGCCTGCTTCGGCGCCCCCACCTTTCTTCAAGTCCACCAGGTACGTCGACAGCGAGACACTGTCCAGCCGCGCGTCCGCTACGTCACCGACCCTGGATTTCGCAGCGGAGTCACCCCCGCGATCATCGTTAGCAAACGTTCGCCATTCCGGGGTATCATCTATAATGCGCTCACCGAGGATCATGCCGCACCCGCGGCACACGACGTCGCCCGCGCTGAAGTCCGTCACCACGTCGGCGCTTCCGCACTCGCGGCAATGATCCGGCGCACACTCGCCGCCCATGACAACGGCAGGGAGGGGGGAGGAGAACGAGGAGGAGGAGGAGGAGGAAAAGAGGAAGACGAGGATCAGGAGGAGGCCGTGCAAGCGATGGGGTGGACGGGTGCACACTTGGCGCGCACTTGCGGCTCGAGAAGCGACGAGCTGTTGCTGGCGCTGGTCGGCGGCGGGGTGGTCGGTGTCGGTGTCGGTGTCGGTGTCGGTGTCGATGGGATTCTAGTTAAATAGCCTCTGGACTGTGATCCACTCACGCGTATCGTACCTAAGGGCGCGCTCGGTTTTTGGTTACGTCCGGCACACAATACCTGGTGCAAGGCGGTCGGTACGATATGGTATGGGACGGTACGGTATGGTATGGAACGAAGGTGTACGGTACATAACGGTACGGTGTGTGCATCAACACTTTTGTGGTTGATTGGCTCGACATGACACACACACAGCTACGGTACGACCCTATCCGTACATCTCTTCTTGGCGCTCTGGACGTCGATCGAAGCAGTCGATACCGTGACTGCTGCAACACGATGCGTGAATCTGCTCGTCGGTCATACCAAGTGGTCGTCCCAGTTGCGCATTATGTCTGCGTCGGTCAGGCCGTCCACCGGCATGTTTTACCAGGAGGGTCCAGTCGCTCGTGTGCGGCGTCTCTTCTTGTCCCTCTCCTGCACCGTCGTGGCTCTAGAACTTGAACCCCTTCTTCGCCAGGTCCAGTTTGGCCTCGACGACATGCTGATCCAGCTCCTTGGACGCCTCGGGGAAGTCTTGTACTGCCATGACGGACAACGCGATGACTGCCAGCGAGTACGCGCCAAAGGACACAACTGCGTACACGGGCAGCGCTTTCACGACCGAAAACACACGCGGGTTTTGCACGTGATTGGACACATACTGCAGCAACAACAGCCACAGCGCGAGCAACGCGACGCCTGCAGTGAGCCACTTCTGGTACTTGAGCATCGTCTAGACGGAGGAGGAGGAGGAGGACGAGGAGGAGGCGTATCGATCGTAAGTGTGGGTAAATGTGTATGTGTACGCCACACCACGCACTTCGATCCAGCCACATGTCGCCACTGATTCGTCAAAACTACATTGTCGACCGAGACTGCTTATTGGCTGAAAACCGGTCAACAACCAATCTCAAGCGCCTGGATCATGCCAGCGCCTGCAGGTGATCCGTGCGAGATGGCAGCGGCCGTCGAGGACAAGGCACAGGGTCGGCGCCGACCCAACTTGACGGACGAAGAGCGACTGGTCCTAGCCAACTACCTGCTCCAGCATCGACAGGGCGAGTCGCGTCTGCCGCGAGCAGTCATTGCCACTGCTGCCGACAAGTTCCAAGTCCATCGGAACACCGTGTCCCGTATTTGGAGCCTCATGAAGCTCGCGCTCGACAGTGGCTCGTCTATTGACGTTGTGATGAGGCAAGTGCTGTCGAGGAAACGAGGCAATTGTGGACGCAAGAGGAAAGACTACTCGACGGCGCTGGAACAAGTCAAGCAGCTGCCCCTGAACCAGCGCGGCTCGTTGCGAGCTCTTTCGTCGGCGGTGGGCGTTCCCCGCACCACATTGTTTCGTCTGCTACGCAATTACGAGACTGATGACATCTGCAAAAGCGATAATGAGGAAGCGAGATCGGAAGTGAAGCCGACGACCGCTAACACGATCAAACCAGCACTGTCGGAGAAGAACAAGAGAGAGCGACTGCGCTTTTGTTACCGAAAGATGCAGCCCAACGGCGTGTTTGACAACATGTTCAACGTCGTGCATATCAACACCAAGTGGTGTTTGCTACCGGGTGCTCGTGATGCTGAGACAATGACGAACAAGAAGAAGAGGAAAGTCATGTTCCTGATCGCTGTCGCTCGACCGCAATGGGATACCGGTCGGCAGAAACAGTTTGACGGCAAGCTTGGTGTGTGGCCATGTATAGCGACTGGGGAACTTACGCTCACTGGAACGGATGTTGAAGTCAGTGCGCCGAGTGTTGTGGATTCAGCAAAAACCGGACGTGTGCTTCGCGTGCTAGAGACGGTCACAAAGACGGAGATTCAAGCCATGATCACACACCATGTCATTCCAGCGATCAAGCTCAAGATGCCGAACGCGCTGCGCACCGACCCGGTCTTCATTCAAATGGACAATCAGCAGATGCGACTGACAGCTGATGATCCCGTTGTAGCCGAGCACGGCAGCACTGACGGCTGGGACATTCGCGTGCAATACCAACCAGCGCATAGTCCCGAGCTAGTGGTGCTAAGTCACGCCTTGCTCAAGAGTATTTATCCAGCGACTTTTCCATCGCAACGTGGCTGCACGCCGTTGTCGCCTGTCGAAGCGCTTATCGCGGGCATGGAGCGCACGTTTGCTGCCGTGCCCAAGCGACGGATCAACAACGCGTTTCTGGCGTTACAAAAGACAATGGAATGCGTGATGCTGGCTGGTGGGTCTAATAACTTTGACTCGCAAGAAGACGCGACCAAGCAGAGCTTGCAAGCCGACGGCAGTCTTCCTGTGAGCGTACTCTGCCAGCGCGACGCAATCGCAGCGTGTCAGTGCATTCTGAACAGCTCACAAGAGTGACGGGCTACTCGCTGTTGGTCTCGCTCGTAACGGCACGTGGTAATAAAAAACCGGTTGGGCGCGATGTTGAAGTTGCAATGTGTGCACCACACGAGATGGGCACACTCCTCGCGCATTATTAGCCAATGCGAAGGTCGAAGCGCGACTGCGTCCAGCCCGAAGTGCCTCGTCCACCAATTGCAAGACCCCTCATGACCACACCCGAGCTCGCGACGCCTTGTGCAGCTGTCGAGGCGCCATGCAGCGCCCCCGCGTCGCTGTCCGAACCCCCAGTGGCCGTCGAAGCTCCGCCAGCCCCTCCTCTTGCTTCTGGCAAGAAAACAAGCGCGTGGAAAGAACGCGGGAGCAAGAACTTGACGTACGACGAGCGACGCTCGATGCTCGATTTCCTCCTCGAGCGACGCGTTGACGGCACGTCGAAGCTCGCGCGCCACGCGGTCACGGACGCCGCCACGGAGTTTCGAGTGGACCGGCGCACGGTCTCTCGGCTGTGGAAACGAGCGGTGCAGAGTTTCGAGAATGGCGACGAAGTGTGTGACGTGGCGTCACGAAAAGTCGGACATCGCGGACGCCGGAAACGCGACTGGTCGGCTGAGCTCAAGCGCGTGAAAGAGATCCCCTTGTCGCAGCGAGGCTCGATCCGCGCGCTGGCAATGGCAGTGGGGATTCCCAAGACAACGCTCTACGAGCTCTTGAAAGAGGACGGCAGCCCTTGTATCAACTCGATCAAGCCGTCGCTCACGGACAAGAACAAGCTGGATCGACTGCGGTATTGCGCCGACAAGGTACGGCTGAACGGGCTATTTGACGACATGCACAACGTTGTGCACGTGAATGTCAAGCGGTTTGCCCTGTCGCGAGACAAGAAGACCAAGATCATGTTTATGGCAGCAGTGGCGAGACCGCAGTGGGATCTGCACAAGAACGAGTGCTTTGATGGCAAAATCGGTACATGGCCGTTCGTGCGGGAAGTGACGCAGGTACAGGAGGCAGACGTGCCACCATCGCCAGAGCGGACGTTTGTTGCACTGGAGGCTGTGACGAAGGACGACGTGCAGCGCATGATCACAGAGCTAGTGATCCCGGCCATTCGGGTGAAAATGCCGGTGCATCTCATGCACGGTCCCATCTACATCCAGCAAGATAGTGTGAAGATTCGGTGCGCAGGCGACGCCGGCTTTGCTGAAGAAGGACGGAAGCACGGCTGGAACATCCAGATGCAGGCCCTCCCACCGTATTCCCCGGACTTCGTCGTGATGGATAGCGCTCTGTTCAAACCGATGCTGGATGCATTGAAAGCCTCGCCACCTCCAGCGCCCGTGTCGTCGATGTCTGGATTTGCGGAGTTGATATCGGGTGTGGAGCAAGGGTTTGCTTCGCTCACGAAAGACGAGATCAATGACGCATTCTTGACGTTGCAAAAGGCTATGGAGTGTACGATGCGCGTTCAAGGCGCGAACACGTACGAGCTCGGTCCCACGAGTAGAGAGCAGCTCCAAATGGAAGGCAGTCTACCTGTGAGCATACTGTGCGATCCGGATGCGTTGTTGGCATGCAAAGCGGCGCTTGATGATGCTACGAGAGAAGGCCTTGAAGCTCTCTGAGACGACAATGGAACCGATGCTGCTGACATGTGCTTGTACCGCTCGACACTCTCGTATGTAAAAGTATGCGTCCATGTGTATTTATCGCTCGATGTTAGGGACGTGACCCGCGCGCTCATCGTTGAGACGGCTCGTAAGTTGGCAACAGAAGCAAACATCATGCAAACTACCATCAATGAGTCGTCCCTGATCTCTTCTCGTGTTTGTAGAAGTAGCGGACCCCATGGAAACACTCCGCATCTTACGCAACAAATGGCGTACCAAGGTTCCACGCGATAAAGGCAAACACCTCAGACGTTTCTTCAATGATCTTGGTGGTCGGCTTACCAGCTCCGTGACCGGACTTCGTATCGATGCGAATCAGCAACGGGTTCGTCTGTGCCTCGGAGCTCCCGAGCTGATGTTGTAGCTCCGCGATGAGCTTGTACGAGTGCAGGGGCACAACGCGATCATCATGATCACCAGTAGTTAGCAGTACTGACGGAAACCCACCACGCTCGGCAAGCTTCTGCATGATGGGGCTATCAGCGCGTGGAACATTGTGGAGCGGCGAGTACTGCCGAATGTAGTGAAAGTCATCCGCCACGTCCGGGTCGCCGTAGTCCGTGCGCCACGCGTGACCAATGGTGAACTTGTGGAAACGCAACATGTCCATGACACCCACTGCGCCTACCACACAACGGTAGAGATCAGGGCGCTGGTTGCTGGTCGCCGCCACCAACAGACCACCGTTGGACCCGCCGTGGATCGCAATCTTCTCTGGGTTCGTATAGCCTTCCGCGATAAGATACTCGGCAGCGCCGTGGAAGTCATCGAATACATTCTGTTTCTTGTGCAGCATGCCAGCTTGGTGCCATTGCTCTCCGTACTCACCACCGCCACGCAAGTTCGGTAGCGCCAACATGCCATTAAAGTGCTGGACAAACACGAGTCGAGATACGCTAAAAGCCGGCGTGAGCGAGATGTTGAAGCCGCCGTAGCCGTAGAGGTACACTGGCAATTGACCATCTTTCGGTGCACTCTTACGCTTCACGAGGAACATGGGAATCTTCGTGCCGTCCTTAGACGGGTAGAACACTTGCTCCGCCTCAAATTGACTGGGGTCGAAACCTTTCACCGTCGTTTCACGAAACACTTCAGCCACAGGCGCTGTGGTTGACGTTGCTCCCGTCTTCGACAGATCAATGCGAAAGATAGACCCCGGGTAGAGAAACGACACGAAGTGGTAAAACAGCTCCGACTCGGTGCGTTTGCTTGCTACCCCGACCGTGCCGACACTGGGCAGTGGGATCTCGTACAGGAACACGCCATCGAGGTTATACACGTGCAGTTCGTTGTGCACGTCTTTCACGATCTGCACAACAAGCAGATTGGGCGCCACGGGGTGCACGCTATCAATCACAATCGCATCCGGCTGTTCAGGGATCACCTCTTCCCACACGGGCGTAGCACTGCCGTCCACCAGCTTCGTACGCACCACGCGCTCGCGTGGAGCATCCGCATTCGTCTTGAAGTAGTAGACGTCTCCGTCGTTGAGAATGTACGAGTACGCGGCGTCCATGTTGTCCACAAGTTTCGTCACTGCAATCGTCGAGTCACTCGGTCCTTTCAAGAAGCTGTCAAAGTCGCGCAGGTCCGCCACATGGACCATGTTGGCATTCTTGCACCCGTCGTGCACGTACAGGAGCAACTTCTTGCCATCGTCCGAGACTTCAGCTCCCACGTTGAACGTCGGCTCACTTGGGTACGCGTACACCAATTTATCCTGCGCCTGCGACGTGTGCAGCGTATGGAACCACACTTGGTGGTTCATGTTTGCGTCCGTCTCGGTCCCCTTCTCCACTGCAGCTTCTTCTTCGTGCTCCTTCTCTTCGTGCTCCTCGTTCTTCGCACCGCCTTGTACCGTCTTTGCTAGCGGTGGGTACCGCGAGTAAAAGAACCCCTTGTCATCGTGTGTCCAGCTAATGCCCGAGAACTTGACCCACTCGACCGTATCTTCGAGCACTGTCGTCCCTTCGTCCTGCACGTCCAGGACGTGGATCGTCTGCCAGTCCGAGCCGCCGCGTGCGATCCCGTAGGCCAAAAAGAGCTTTCCGTCGTTCAACTTCGACTCGGAGAACGCGCGACTCGCGAGCGCTGCGGTCCCGTCGGTCGCTAAAGCGTTCGGGTCCAAGAGCACGCGGGGCGGGCTGTCCAATGTCGCTTGAATGTACAGCACGCTCTGGTTCTGCAAGCCGTCGTTTTTGCTGAACACGTACTTTGAGCCGTACTTACGCGGGGCCGTGTACTTTTCGTAATTAAAGAGATCGGTCAACCGCGCTTTGGTTTCGGCGACATAGGGGACGGTATGACGCAAGAGGTCCTGCGTCATATCGTTCTGCTCGGTCACAAACGCGCGCGTTTCCGCAGCGTCGGGGTCTTCGAGCCAACGGTACGGGTCGGCCACTTGCACGCCATGCAGATGCTCGACGACGTCGGCGCGGCGCACGGTCGGGTACGATAGTTTCTTGGCGAGGAGACGTCCGGTAGCCGTCATGAGGAGGTCGCGTTGTTGGTCTTGGCGCTCTTTGTTGGATATGATCGATACGAGAGAGCCGAGAAAGGGGGTGGGGAATGGTACAGATAGAGGGAAGCGGAGAAGTGGGCATATGGGACATGGACGACGTGGCCAAATCGAGAAGATCCTGTAGCTATGATGATGCCGACGATCGTGGACGGTATGACGATCGTGGACGGTATGACGATCGCTCGCTAGCAAATTTATGTACACACTAGACTTGGCAATTTAGCAAACCGGCGTTAGTGTACAGGATAACGGCACGACTCCTGCTTTCTTTTTATCATTTTTGACCTCGCACAAAGCGTTATGAGGCTGTCGTGGATACTTAACGAGACATCGCATTGACAAATGTGGAACCAAGCGCTCCGGCGGGTCGTGCGCGCCGAGGAGCGGCAATGCGACACGCGACGGCGACAGCAGCTCGCACAAGCTGCTGCATCCTCTGCCTCTACGTCCTCATCCGCTGCCTCTGCACCATCTTCTTCTACCGTCCCACCAGTCTCAACAGCCGCTGCGACGACTTCACCCATCCCATCGATCCACGAGACTGCGCCGACAGGAGCACCCGATGGCGACAAGAGACAGGCGCGCGACGCCGCAAATAGTGTGGACCACGTCCAACCCGACACACTCCGAGCCCACACGGCCGACACTAACATGGACAAAGCGGGCAAAAACAAGGACAAAGCGGGCAAAAACAAGGACAAAGAGGACGATAACATGGACAAAGAGGACAATAACAAGGACAAAGAGGACAATAACAAGGACAAAGAGGACAATAAGGACAATGAGGACAGAGAGGACAAAGGGGACAAAGCGGACAATAACATGGACAATGAGGACAAAGACGAGGACGAGGACGAAGACGAAGACGGCGATGACTACTTGCAGAAGCACTTGTTGTCGCAGTCGACGTCGGTCTGGCGCTGCTTGGAGGACACGCAGCAGGCCAACTGCTTGGCGCTCAATGCCCCGCACTCGCTCTTGGCCGTGGGCGAGCGGGACGGCCGGGTGACCATTTGGGACAACACGACGATCCGTGTGATTACGCGGGAGTTGGACCCGACGCTGATTGCGCTGCCGACGAGCGAGGCAGTGACGCACGTGGAAAAAAGGGACGGACCGAGCGATGGGACGGTCAAGCAGATGGATGCAGGGGGAGCAGAGCCGCAGAAGGGGCTGAACGAGGGTCTCGTCGCTGGAAACGGGTCAGTGGAAGGCAGGATACAGGACGGAGAAGACGAGAAAGGAGAAGAGGAAGAGAAGACGAAGACGTTGATGCGGGAGAGATTGGTGGATAATGAGGCAGACAGTGCGCGGATCGAGGAGAGGCAAGAGACGACGAGTGGAGGTCCGCTATTGACGTCCATGGACCTTCGCGTAGCAAAGACGGCGTTGAAAGTCGTCACGCAGTGCGCGTGGTCGTGCGACTCGCAGTGGCTGTTTGCAGGCTGCGAAGAGAAATCAACGCGACGAGCGAGGCTGTGTGTGTGGAACGTGGAGGCCGCGACGCTCGTGTCGGCGTTTCAGTTTGACGGCACGATCACCGCACTAAGTGCCCATCCCCGTGACCCGAAGCTGGTCGTTGTGAGTCATTGGAACTCCCGTCCGGTACTACTGGACGTTGTGTCGGGCATGCGCACGGTACTGGAAAGTGTGCCGCTGGAGAATGAAGAGATCACGCAATCGACGCCTCAGAGCAATTCGAAACACCCTTTGCTTGCATCTTGCGCGCGCTTCGGACGATCCGGGAAACGCATTTACTGCGCCACGTCGAAGTCAACGCTGGCTGTGCTGGACGCTGCTACTTTGCAGTGTCTTGACAGCCTCAAGTTGAGCGTGGTCATCCAGTTTGTGGATCTTCGCGTGAACCTACGCGAGACAGCCATGTTACTGACCAGCTCAAAAGGCATTCACGAGTTTGCCATGGATCCAGCTGTAGAAGCTGGCACCTCAAAGCATGCGCGTGATGCAGCATGCGCTGCTGCGACGGAGGACCATTCACTAGGGGTGCGTGAGGTGGCATTACACTCGACCGGTGCAGTGCGTGCGCCGTGGGCAGTTTGCTGCTTTAGTGGTGGAGAGGAGTTTGTGGTCGGCACGCCTGTGGTGCGCCATCGACACGTAGGTGAAAACGGTCTGTTCACGTGGCATCGTGCCTCGAATCACGGCAAAACAACGGCCCAGCACAATGCTGGTGTGAAGGACGGTGTGTTGGCACTTGCGTGGGATCGTTTGAGACAGAGCGTGCTCGCTGTTTCGACAAGTGGGGCTTTGCATGTGCTTGAGGAGCAGTTTACGACAACGTGGCCAGGAGCAATGTATCCCGCAGGCTTTCGTCTCATCACTGACAACGAAGTGCATCTAGACGTGTTCGACCGCGACGCAGAAGAGCGAAAGCGTGAGAAGGAAGAGCTCACTGAAGCAGCAAAGCGTTCGCCCGTTGACGTGTTTACTATGAAGAGCCCGAGCGCTCAGTTTCCGAGCGAATATGATACCATCGATCCCGAGATGGTGGTCAATAAGCTGTGCTACATTCCAGCCATTCCAATCGAACATTACCATCGTCAACATCTGCACCAAGTCCATGAAGGAGGCCATAACGAAGACAACGACTTTGGTCTTGGCCAAAGCATTTTCGAGCCGCTCAAGAGTGCGTTGGTCGAACATGACAAGAAAAACGCTCGGAAATCCCGAAACAGTAGTGCCAAAAACCCGAAACGGCGGCGCAGATGAGCATCCAGCCGATGCCACCATGTCACACGAACGTCACGCTATGTGCTGAGCGTGTGAACTTTACACGGTGTTTTTCTAGCACTCTCAAGCTATGTAGCTGGCTGGTGTGAGTCCCGCCGTTACTGGTTGTCATTGTTGCGCAAGTCAGTATGTGTAGCGGAAGATTGTCCGCTACGGATGCTTTCGGCAAGTGCAGCGGTATGTCAGGCTTTCGGCATGTGTCGACCTGCAGCTTTGGTCTGGGGTCGTGTGACGGGTGCTGATTGTGGCGGGTTGCAGATGGCCACATTGGATCGCACAGGATCGAGTTTGTGGTCACTATACTTGCTGCCTCGCAGTCCTGCTCTATTCTTGTGGTCGCGTCATTTTAACTGAACACGAATGAAGCTCAAGCTCGATGACAAGCGCACGCGCAACGAGACCGGATGTGTACGTCCCCGAGCTGTCCGTTGAGCATTTCCAACTTGCTGTATCGCCGTACTGCCATCTGTGCAGCAGATGACGCAGTTGTCGCTATTGGACTGTAGTTGTTGCTTCAGCTGCACAAGTGACGACTTTCGTGGCTATACCTAAGCAACGCGGCACACGTCAGCCGAATCGTGAGCTTGCACGATTTCAGTTCCAGAACAGTTTCGCCTCGCACCCATGTTGTTCATCTCAAGAGGCACTATAAGTGAATTGACAGAGACCGCGATGACAAGAACGCGGGCCGGCTCCGCTCACACGGCACTACCGCTCAGCAGTGATGGTCGTACTGCCAGCAGCGGCGTGATGACTCGTCATTACGTGCATGCAGGATTGGGCCGTACAGGAAATGGTCTCGGGCCATTGTGAGGCAGAGCACAGCAAATGTCGGTGGCGACGATGCTGCCATCGAAGCTAACGTGCAAGTTGCAGCATTGACACTTGACGATCTGAGTCGCAGTGGTGAGAACGACTTTGCACCGATCAACGAAATTGTGCTGCCACTGTTATGGCAGATGATATGTGCGAGGCCGGATGGCATCAGCTGGGCTGGAACTGAAGCAGACACGCTGGTAAGTTTTCGTGCGTGTATGATGAAGTGGTCATCGAACTGAAGCGAACTGGTCGGCAAGGTCTATGGATGTACGGCATGTTTCGTCCTGTAGAAGCATCCAGTGGAGCGAGAGGTTGACGTGTTTGTGCAAGTGAGCGCATGCTTTCAGCGCGCGTGGTACCTTGTGTTACATTGCGTGCCAGCGCTGCTTGTTACCCCTTTTTCGATTGTGGTGCGTCGATGGACAAGGTGTACGTCAGGCGTGTCTGTATCCCTGCGCAGCGAAGCTTCATTATTTTCTGACGACTGCACTTGGTGCTCGTAGCGCTTGGAAGCATTGTGGGAATACTGCGCCAGTGACTGCTGGACTTGCACTGGTATGTGCTGAAGACTCTGTATCAGGAGCTTGAAGCATCGAAAATCACGAAACGGACCGATGGCAACATACGTGAGCATTATAAGACCTGAGCAAATTCTTGCAAGTCATTCAAGTGACCATCCTCTGTCCAAGCAAGTACTGCGCAGCATTCGACGCCAAGTATCTCCTTATCTCCGCTCTGGCATCGCGGCGACTCGGACATCAACTCAGTGCAGCTGTGCAGCGGGCAAGCGATAGCTCATCCTGGTGTGGTATCGCTATGCGCTTCCAGTTGATCAAGCGAGCAACCGGATGTGATGTCAACTATCGCTGTGGCTGGAACAGAGAGCACAGACGGATGTAGCATGCGTTCCGAAGTTTCACGATTATTCGTGCAGCGTCCGCAAGTCATGGAGTACTTACAGCCTCACAAGACTCGCACGCTGCAACACGCACCATTACAGACGCTTGACGCCGTTACTACTTGTCTCCCACAGTTCCGCCCTTGTTGCAACTTGCCTCCTGATCGCTGCTTGTGCTATGGCAACAATCACGCACTGGAATTCAGCAGCTCCTACCGGTGCAGTATCGCCGTACCGCTCTTTGGCGTGCGGCGGTATGCTTTTTCTTCCAGTCCCTGATTGACGAAGCGTGTCTTCGATAGCAGAGCTTGATAACTTGGTGGAAGTTAGAGTGGGCCTGCAACGTCGATCAAGCCGAAGAAATCGTCGATGTCAGAGCGCTGGTTGTCGTAGGCTGCCATGGTCGTGCAAGTTGAAGACAACTAATCCAAACAGCTTCGGCATCTTCCGTTTGACCACGATCTTCACTTGGCGTATGTACCATGAACACGGTGGCGACGCGCTCGTACACTGAGCGTCTTGCGTCTATGCGAAGCCAACGGCATGGAGTAGAATGCTGCGCAGTGCTCAGAGTGTATACTGCTCGAGCACTTCAACAAGAGCCTGGACGGTCTGCTGGCTGCTCACTTCAGTGCAGATGCCGGCAGCGCGTTTCGACATCTCCAGCATCAAATCGGCGATGTACACGCGTGTGCTGTCGAAATAGCGACAGATCGTCGAAGCCATCTGCGCTTGGTGCATTGCTGTCCCTCTTGGCGTAGTCTGCTTCAACAATCGTGCTTTCTCGTAGCTGTACGTCATACATTTGCGAATCAACGCGACAGCAGAACGAGACTTCACGCGTCGCTTTCCGTCACTTGGACCAGCGGCTTCAGCTCCTCGAAACGGATCGGTCATGGTCAGAGCCGTCCCGAGCCGACTGTCGCCGTATTCCAGCACAGGAGCGACCAAGTTGACGAAGTCCAACATGAGCTCGACCTGTGCTGCCGTTACTCGCTCAACGACAGCTCTATCCACAATGTCGTTGTCCCCGCTGAGTCTGTCCAGTGCTTCGATGTCATGCACGACTTCCACGATCATCGAGCTAAAGCGCGTCTGGACTTCGTTGTGAAAAGTGTCGTCGCCACCGTAGAGGACATCGTTCGAGTCTACGCCATCCAGGCGATCTGGCAGCGAATGTTGGCCCCACAGCGCATAGACTTGCAGAAGCATGAGTGACACGCGCACACGAGCAACGCCTACTTCAAGACCAGGCGACAACGATGGCGAGTTCCGTGGCACCCATTTCAGACGCTCCAACACGGCTTTCTGCAGCGCGGCGACAAAGTAGAAAGCGTCGCCGTCGTGCAGCGAAGGCGCATATATCAGCACGTTCACCAAGTGAGCAATCATTTGCACGACCCGATCAACGACGCTACTGGTACTGCCGATGCCCGATAGCTCAGACCAATGCTGCACGTTTTCATCGCTGTTTGCAGCAGGTTGGACAGCGCTCAGGTCCAGATCCGCGAGCAGCACGATGGCAGCTTTTATCAGCGCGTCCATCTGAGGGACGCAGTTGGTCACCAACGCGACATTTGCCGCCGATACCGTGAGCTGCAGCTTTTCAAGCGGCGCTTCAATCGATGATGGAATCGTAATGTGTGCAAACGCCAAACACGACTGAACAAAGCCACGTCGCACATGACTGTGCTTCTTGCTCTTGAGGTTCGATCCCGCGCTACTGCGCATATGCCTGTGAGCATACATCGCGAGCCGAAGAACCATCGTAGACAGCAGCATCTCGACTTGCTCCAACTTGTAGAATGCGCGACGACAGTCGGTGTACAGCATGAGCAACGCCTCTTGTTCTTCACCTTGTGCTCGTTCGCTCATGGTCGCACGTTCGTTCACGTATCCAAGCCGCGTGATGAAAGCCGATATATCGCGGGTAGCCTCCGCGCGCTCTGACGCGGTGCTGAGAGAGTCAAGCACGTCGTGCACACGGCAACATACAGCCATGAGCGCATGGGCTACGGCAGCCTCGGGACCAACAATGTGAAGCCGCAAAGCACCTGAACGATCGGACGTCTTCTTCATTCTCCCGCTAACAAAGACCCGCAAAACTTTCTTCGCCACATCCACACTGGATTCTCGCTTGAACATGCCCATGATAGCCTTGACGCAACAAGAGATACGTTAGCAGCAGAAAGCTGTACCGATGCGAGTCGCTCCGATACCCACCAAAAAAGGAGGAGACGGAATGAGTCTCGAAAAGAACTCGTAGCTCTGCTTGGCGCCAAACACGACGCTTTCAATCAGCGCACCCAGCAGATTGTACGATCCGGCTGTGAGCTCTCCGGGTATTGCGGCGTCGAGATGGCGAACGACGTCCTTGAGAAGGATAAGGGCCTCGCGGTGCTGTCACCATAAAACATCACAGCTAGCAGCATTAGTTTGCGGCAGCAGTAGAAGCGATACATATATATCGTCATACCGAGAAGTGGGTCACAATGAGCTTCATATAAGCTGCTGCACACTCCATATACTGCGCGATGTCTTCTTGGGAAGTAATGGACGACCAGGAACTATTGAGAAACTGCAACTTCCCGCCGGGCTCGTCACCCGCGATACGAGGCACCTTGCTAAGCTGCGTTGCAACTGTGCTGTAAAGATGACACTTGGAAACAAAAGACGGAGACGCGGCGCGAATGAGATCCAGCATGACGGTAGGTGTCGCGGCGTAAAACTGCGCACCGAAACACTTGCATATGGGCTTCAGCACCATCGGATTGCCGACATACTCCCGGTAGTGCGCCAACAGCGAATCAAACGTGTCCTGGGTCGCCCCTGGAGCTATACACTTCACAATCCACTCGACGGCAGGTGAGTGCAGTGCGAGGTACTCTTCGTATCTCATCTTGTTCGCAAGCAACCACTGCTCAAGCTTGTTGTGGCGGAACCAGTGGAACGCGTAAAAGTAGTCAAAGAGACTGCTACTCACGACAGCAGTCTGTTCAGCGGGAGAGGTGACACCCAGCACCTCAGAACTGGCTAACGACAGGTACACGCGAGCGTACAACGCAACCATTGGGTCGCCGACACCCCTGTGGCAAGTCGATGAACAAGGATAACAACGCAGCCATTAGACTTCCCTCCTTCCACAGCTAAAATCGACAGCAGCGTATCACATACTTGATCATGCTGGAAAGCCGTGCCACGATCTGCGGATACTCGTCCTCACAAAGAAAGCGATAGCACCCAAGCAACGCGACTTCAATGTAGCTGAGACAGGCGTGTTAGGTAGGGAAGTCAACCATACATCCGACTCGCAGCGGCAAGAAAAGCCACGTACATGCGCGGAAGAAGTTCTCGAATGCAAGCCGACTTGTAAAACCAATTGCGGCACGTTTCGATCGCCTGGACGTTGATGTTCGAACTCCTGACGTGATCTCCCATTGATTCCAATGGAGGCTGGCCACTTTCATCCTCCGACGCTTGCGCGTCAATGCGGTCATACACGAGCTTCCCGAATGCGTCAAGTACATCCGTCACCAGCACAAACACGCATGGATACAATCGAGGTGCAGTCGTAGTGTCTGCAAGCAGTTTCACACACTTGATAGCAATGCGCAGCGCCTCGACTTTTCGATGTTGCTCCCATGTATCAATCAAGTGCTTTTGCATGCCCTTCACCTTGGCCACGTACTGCTTCTGCGACATGTCAAGATCTTGCTCGTGTCCTGCCGACACAAGCAGCTCGGCATCGTCAAGAGGTTCCGTCGCACGTCCACACTCAAGCTGTCTCAATCGTGCACGTGTTCTCTCAATCACTGTCACTGTCGCTGCTTCTTCGTCCATCTTCTCGGTAGAAAAGCAGTCGCTTCGTCGTCCCAAAGCGCTCCCGGGCTTCTGCTCCGTCACGTCACGCAGCCGCGCTTCCGTCTTGCACCTACCCTGGACCCAAGAAGCCAACATCTCCTCCCTAGCCTGCGCTTTCCACTCTGTCTTGACTGTCCGTGGCACTGACGCAGCCACACTTAGGTCGCGTCTTGGCGCTGTCTGCACCACACCCGTCGTCGGCTCTACCGTCACATCCGACCGCTCCAATCGCAGTGTACCTATAGCCACAGCCGACAAGAGCGCTTCAAGTGGTGCAGCGTCTCCTTTCTGCACGTCCACGAGCGCTCGTGACGCGTTCGTTGCCCGGGGGGCCTCAGGCCCCAACTCTTGACGACGAAACGACGCACACGCACCACCCAACACGTCCGTTCCTGCTGCATCGACGTGCCCAGTAGCAAGAGGATGCTGGTCGCTTGCGCTCAGCGTGTGCCACACGAGCGCCCGGCGTGAGCGACGAGGTCCATGCCGCTCGCGCACGCGCCAACTCGGTGCTCGGGTTGCTGTCGTCATGTGACGCCTTTCGAGCGTGCGGATTGGACAGAATGTAATTGCTTTTCAGCCAATGAGCGTGCGACGATCGATCCCGGCAGCGTCATTTAGCCGATCGTCTCGACTTGTGGTCTGCGTCTGTCCTCTGCGCGCTGCCCCTGTGTGGCCCACTGGTACGTTGCGCCCGTTCGTAGTCGTGCGAGTGTGTGTGTGTGTGTGTGTATGAGAGAGAGAGAGAGGTCTGACACGTGTGTGCACCGTCGACGCAACGAGCTGCTCGTTGTGGCTCTTTGCTGGCGAAAGAACGCACGTGGAACCAATCGATCGCCGAGTTCTCATTGTCTATTGTCGTGTGCTGTGTGCTTTTGCGCGCTTTCTCTTTGTGTTTGTGTACTTGTGCTACTATCTTTCAGAGACGCGCACGACAGTTGCTCAGGCTCCTCACTCGCCATGTTTGGCGCGACCGCAAGCGCACCGCAGACAGCGTCGAGTGGCTTTGGCTTTGGCGGCTCCGGTGGAGCAGCTGCGCCGTCGTCGAGTGGCTTTAACTTTGGCGCGACGCCAGCAGCGCCAGTTGCAGTAGGGGGCGGATTCGGAAGTGCAGGAACGGCTGGAACATCGATGGGGTTTGGTTTTGGGGCTCCACTGACGTCGACGACTCCTGCAGCGTCGTCTGGCTTTTCTTTTGGGGCAGCGCCGGCTGCGACACCTGCTCCAGTTAGCTCTGGGTTCGGCTTTGGAGGCACGGGCACAGCTCCGAGTAGTGGTGGTAGCGCTGGCTTTGGGTTCGGCGGAACTGCTGCACCTGCTGCCGGTTCAAGTGGGTTCGGCTTTGGAAGCACGGGCACAGCTCCGAGTACAGGTGGTAGCAGTGGTTTTGGGTTCGGCGGAACTGCTGCACCTGCTGCTGGTTCAAGTGGGTTCAGCTTTGGAGGCACGGGCATAGCTCCGAGTAGCGGTGGTAGCAGTGGCTTTGGGTTCGGCGCAACTGCTGCACCTGCTGCCGGTTCAAGTGGATTCAATTTTGGAGGCGCGGGCACAGCTCCGAGTACTGGTGGTAGCAGTGGCTTTGGATTCGGCGCAACTGCTGCGCCTGCTGCTGGTTCAAGTGGATTCAATTTTGGAGGCGCGGGCACAGCTCCGAGTACTGGTGGTAGCAGTGGCTTTGGGTTCGGTGCAACTGCTGCGCCTGCTGCTGGTTCAAGTGGATTCAATTTCGGAGGCACGGGCACAGCTCCGAGTACTGGTGGTAGCAGTGGCTTTGGATTCGGCGCAACTGCTGCGCCTGCTGCTGGTTCAAGTGGATTCAATTTCGGAGGTACGGGCACAGCCCCGAGTACTGGTGGTAGCAGTGGCTTTGGGTTCGGCGCAACTGCTGCGCCTGCTGCCGGCTCAAGTGGGTTCAATTTCGGAGGCACGAGTGCAGCTCCGGCTGGTGCTAGCTCTGGGTTTAGCTTTGGTGGGACAGCGCCGGCTGCTAACGCAACGCCATCGTTTGGGACTGGTGCTAATGCTGCGACGACGGCGAAACCTTCGTTTTTTGGGCAGCAACCTGCAGCGAGTAACACTGCAGCGACTGGATTTGGGAGTGGCTTTAGCTTTGGTGCTAAGCCGGCAGCGGCGGGCACTGGCTTTGGATTTGGCACAGGAAGCGGTCTTGCTGCTGGTCCGAGCGCATTTGGCACAACAGGCTCGTCACTTTTTGGTGGCGGTGGTGGTTCTGGCTTCGGCACTGCGACTCCTGGCACTGCGCCCTCAGGCTTCAGTACGACGCCGGCGTCTACTGCTCCCGCCCCGATCATCGTGGGTGCCGATGCGTCTGTTGCGCAGCTGAACACGATCAAGGCAGCCTACCAGGACCCCGCTCAGTCACGCTTCAAGTTCCTCATGTACAACACTGTTGACCCGATGCAGCGACATCTGTACGTCCGACCGCCATACATCAGCGAACGTTTGTGGAATCAGGCGGAGCTCGACAACCCCGACCCGCCCAACTGCGCACCCGTTCCTATTCTGGGTTTTGACAACCTATTGAAGCGTATCAAGGCGCAACAGGAGCACGCGGACAAGTACAACAAGTACACGGATGACCTGCGTGCACAACTGAATGAGATGGACAAGCACACGCGTGCGACCGAAGAGAAGCTTGAAAAGTGTCGCCACGAGCACGTGCAGCTCTTTCACTCGCTAGTGAAAGTCATGCGGGACATCGAGCTGTTGCAGAATTACGGCAAGCCACTCCAACGCGAGGAGATGCAACTAGCGTGCGTTACCAGTGGTGCGGCCATCATGCGCGCTGGTGCTTGGAACTCACTTCTGTGGTGTTGCTTGCATGACAGGACGATGTTGAAGAAACTCCAGACGTTGCTGGACTCGCCAGACCAGTACAAAGCGCGGCTGAAGGACGTGGTATCGCTTCAGCATGTGCCAAAAGCGGCGCAGGTACCTCCAACGAGTCAACTGAGTCCGCAGGATCTGCAGCGACTCTACGAGGTTCGTACATTGTGTGTGCGTTGACTCACGCTGCTGACAGCAAAGGCAGCCCGACTAACACACGCGTGCGGACGGTATGCGGTGTGCAGCTAATGGACAAACAGCGACAGGGAATGGAGCACCTGACGAACATCATCAACGACGACCTCGCAGACATCCAGCTCATCAAGGAGACGTGGCGACGGTAGATCGACCGCATCGCGTGCTGATCGGTTCTTTACCAAGCGGCGGCCTGGGAGCAAGAAAGGATGCAACAACGAACGACGCAGCGCATTCGTACGTCGCGCAGGACACACGATGTTGCTCCTACGTGCGTCACAGCGTCGGGCAGACGACAAGGAACTTGAGACCACACGTGCGTCGAGACAAACACACGAGACCGACACTCACGCGCAAATTGTTCGCAAATTGTGTGTACTTGTTGTTCTTGCTGCCGCTGTGGTTTTCTCGCTCAATGTATCGGGCCAAGACCGTCTACGACAAGCGCCGACGCTCCCTGTTTCTTGTCTTGACCATATGCAAGCATCCTGTCCAGCTCTTTCCCCTCTCTTTCTCGGACACGACTCCACCCTCTTCGTTGTCTGCTCTAGTGGTGGTACGGGTCCACGTCACCAAATGTCTCAATGACCAGAGGCGCTTCGTCAAACTGGTGGAGAGGAGGGGGCGACGAGAGGCACCACTCGAGCGTCTGGTGCACCTCGGGGATCACCACCTGCGGGTCCTCCGTCGGCGTGTTCTGCACCGGCACTCCGTGTACTGTGCCATCCGAAGAGAAGTGGGCGACGGCCGGACGCACAGCGGCAGAGGCGTTCACTATACACAGCGCAACAGACCACACGACACGTGCAATACGGGACAAGGAGGTCAGCAATCCCAAGCTCCTGGTCGCGCTGCGTACAGCAGAGACACAAGCGACACACGTCGAGATAGAGGGGAAAGAGGGGGAGAAGACACGTGGGCGTACCGGTCTTGAGCGCGCGCAGGGACTGACGGACGAGACAACTCATGGGCGGACGGACGGACGGCTGCTGCTGCTTGTTGTTGTTCTTGTTCTTCGTGGTCGAAGCGAGAGGCTCACGATAGGCGGAGAGGTTTGAGCTGCTGGTCGCTGATTGGCCAGCGTAGTGTAGCCATGACGATCGAAAACCGAAAACAGTGGCTCGGAGGCCGCGAGAGGGCCTCGCTGTCGTTCGGGGCCTCTAGCTTTGTAAACGCCGTCGGTGGCACAACAGACGGACGGACGGACGGACGGCGACGGACTTGTCACCGATTGTAGGGTCGTTTCAGCGTAGGTACGCTTTCGAATGTCGCGCGGGCCACGTTGCGCGCAGTATGGTATGAGACTCTGCTGCGACACGAGCAGCACACTCAACAGTCGGAGCGGCTTCACGTACGTGAGTGAGTGTGCGTGTGAGTGCGGTAGTTCCGAGCCGGTGACAACGAACGAACTCCGCTCGTTGCATTGTCGTTTGAGTGGATTGATATCCCCCCCCCCTTTGAGGAGAGCCGATGCGGCTGCCTGGTTGCAATTGTTGAATGGCAAAAGCTCACGCCCGAGGTCGACTGACTGGACGTATTGACCCGATCGACGGCGACACGAACGTCGATGCTGTCGCTCCACTAGGCTACAGCAGTGACCAGACATAGTACTTGTGTCAGTCGTCGACGAAGAGGCAGTGTGAACGACGTCGTGTGCAGAACCACTCTCGACGTCGGCGGAACTGTCTGATGGAGAGACAATGCTGCAACACCACACGACAGCTGATCGTGGCGACACCACTGGGTGTGCTTTCTGCATCAGCGACCACTATAGAGATGCAGTGACTCGCACGACGAACGAACGAACAGGGCCACGGCAGTGCATGTGGAGGATCGAGATCGTCATGTCGATCATTCGTTATTGTTGCGTTCCAATTGCCCACAAGTCAGTCTGACTGCCATTGTGACTGTCATTGTGACTGTCATTGTGACTGTCATTGTGTCTGTCATTGTGACTGTCATTGTGTCTGTCATTGTGTCTGTCTGTCTGTCTGTTTTTATCACGCAACAGCTGACCATTTATGAGCGAAATGAAAATCAGCCCCACAATCCATCACGATAGAAATCCAGGTGCGTACTTATGGAGGTATCGCCAGCGCATACCGGTACATCCTCAATATTCGCCACACCGGTAGTACCTGCCACCGCGTCTCCCCCTCCCACACCAAATCCCTTTCCCACAACAGAAAACACCCATTCACCCCCTCACCCCCTCACAGCCGCAAACACCAAACACACGCCCCGTCCTCCCGCCAGACCCCCAAAAAAACCAATCCACAAAAAACACACCCACCCGCTCCCACGACCTCTCGCACTCTTGTTTCAAACAATGTCACGTCAACAACAACCACCACAACAACCCAGCCAGTCAGCCAGTTAGCCGCACCAAACTCCACCCATTCGTGCGTACAAAACCGCCCAACACAACGCGCTCTCTCTCTCCTCTCAAAACGCCCCGCGCTCGTCGCTGGCGCTTATTTCGTCGAATCACCGCGCGCGCTCGGGCCACTCATTAGTGGATTTTAATCCGCACAACGCCCAACGAGAGGAAGAAATCCGCCCCCTTTTCCGCCTCCCACCGCGTCATGTCCGACGACACCACCAGCAGCTCCACCACTCCCACCACCAGCCAGCAACAGCAACAACAGCAACAACAGCAACAACACCAGCAGCAGCAACAACACCACCAGCAGCAGCTCCACCACTCCCACTCCCGCTCCTCTAGCCGCAAGCACAGGTCATGGCCCGAGCTGTAGCCCCAGTGGCGCCGACTTGGCGCTGCAGCAGCAGACGCTCCTCCAGCAGCAGCTCCAGCAGCAACAGCTCCAGCTACTGCAGCTCCAGCAGCAGCAGCTCCAGAGCCTCAGCCACAACCTGAGCGCATCGGACCTCACGGCACTGCAGCAACAACAACAACAACCGACACAGCAACAGCAGCAACAGCAGCAGCAGCTCGCGCTCTTTATGATGCCCATGTTCCCGCTCCTGATGCCGCCTCTACAGCCGCCGCTGACGCTGACGACTCCCGAGTCAGGAGCTCCCGACGCAGTTCCACCTGCGGAAGCGGCAGAGACGTCGGGCGACGCGCTGCCGAGTTATTTACCTGCAGGTGCCGAGTCGCTCGCGCTCGGGACGTCGTTCGGGGGCGCCGACGGCTTTGGCCTCTTGTCCGGCAGCTCGACACTGCCCGCTGCCGTGTCGGCGCCAGCCACGAGTGGCGGCGGTGGGGTGTTCAACATGGACGACGACGTGCCGAAGCGCAAACGCGGGCGCCCGCCGAAAAAAGACGTGGCGGCCCGCGCCAAAGGGGACGTCGAGAAGGCGCTCAAGCAGCAGCAGCAGCAGCAACTACCGTTCTGGGGCTACGGGCTCCCGATGCCGCTCTTGCCGGGCTTTCCGCCGGCCATGCTCTCGGGCATGTCGAATCCAGGGGCTGTGGTGCTCAAGGACCCCAGTGCGGCAGCTGCAGCTGCGTGTGAGGACGAGCTGCTGGCGCAGCACGAAGGAGACGTCGAGCGGCCGTCCAAGCCGGCCAAGAAGAAGCAGCGGGGGACGGGCAAACCGCGGGGTCGGCCCCGCACGCGGCCCCGTCCGGGCGAGCTGATCCGACGCGTCAAGCCGCTGCCCATTGCCCCGGCCAACTTCTCCGTCATGTACAACTACTCGCTGTCGAACTTGGCGCACAAGAGCGCAGAGCTGCATGGCGACGGCACGACGGCCGGCACGGACGACGCACAGGATCGGGGCCTGGCGTCGCTGCTGTCGGGCGAGCACGAGTAACAAACGCGCTGTGCGGCGCTATGATACACCTCTTTCGCTTGTTTTTTTCCATCCGCCACGCACACACACACACTGTCCGCCAGAGTTTGTTTCGTCCGTCGTGGACTGCCCTGTCGTCCATCCGTCATCACGCCATCGTCCCTGAACACAAAGGCTCCAGCAGTGCATACGTGCGTACGTACACTGTGGGCCAACCAACGCAGGTGGACGCACGGACGCCAAGATGCGGTCTCAGCTCGTTCTCTCTTCTTCTTCCTATCTGCTCCGCCTGCGTCTCCGTCTGTCTATCGCTCCATCTGTCGCCAACGTGTGCCTCTAGAAGAACACTTCTTCGTCGCCGTCCTGACTCACGGCGTCGCTGTCGTAGTAGTCGTACGTGTAGTCGTTCATGTCGTCGCCCAAGTCCTCTTCGGCCTCGTCCAGCACGCCGTCCTCGGCCTCCTGTTCGCCTGCCTTGGCCTTGTCGTCCGCAATCTTCTTTTCCTGCGCTTCCAGTGTTTTAAACACGGTTTCAAACGCACGCGGCGGGACGATCGCGCGATTGGTCGGCCCTCTTGCGCCAGCGCGACCGCCGTGGAGCGAATTGCCCTGTAGCTCGTCCGGCACGTACAGCTCATTGCCTTTCGGTGTCTCGGGCACTGTCACGTGCACAAACGCCGCCGCGTCGGACGTGTGTTTCCATCCACCGCCACCACCAGCGCCACCAGCAGCAGCAGCAGCTGCGTCCGAACCCACAGCTTCGGCTTCCCACGGATGGTACAGACTCTCGAGTTTGTGGGCCAAGAGCCGCTGTCGCTGGATCAAATAGGCCTCACTGTCGGTGAGCGCCTCGGGCTGCGGCAGCTCCATGGGCGGATACAGCGCCGTGCCTTCTTCCGCCTAGCAACAACACCACACAATAAAAAGTGTATAAAACACACACCAGGAGCGGTTCAATTCCTGTTTCAAACCACGCGATCGACACACAGCACTGTTTTATTCCTCGTCGTGCACGATCGGCTCGACGTACGTGCAGCATCTCCATCTGTGCGTACGAGAGGCCGAGATCCTCGCGCGTCTCGTCCATGATGTCGGCCAACATCGAGTCGTGACTGCCGCCGAAGCGCACGCGCCCGCGTCCGCGGCCACGTCCTCGGCTCATGAGTGTCTTGTCACCAGCCGATGACGAAAAGTTCACTTTGGGTGGTCCTACTAGCGGCGGCCTTTTCATACAAATGTAGGCGAGTTTTATAAAGGGTTTTAATCATCGAGGCGAGTGCGTTTAACTGCGATAGGGCGATCGATAAGGACGAACATTACGACAGCGAAAGCCCAAGTTCCTCATGGGCGAGTGCGCGCTTAACGTCCTGTATCGACGTCGTCTCGTCGAATAGAGCGACTTGACATTCCGGTTTTAGCGTCGCAACGATATTCGTAGCCGTCGCAGCAAAGCAAGTAGTATTCGCACGACAACTGACGTCGCTGGTAAGTTGCAAGTCCAGACGCAATTGCCCACTTTCGGCCATGCAATTTGTAGCCCCGCTTCGCACTACTCTTTTTTTGTGTCTCGACGACGAAAAGGTCGCTTCGATATCGGTATTTCAGCAATCGCGAACCAAATCTAAGGCACAATAAACCAAGGACAAACGCCGAGTGTCTCTAGATTTAGAACGACACTGATCGCGGCAGCGGTCAGCTAGTCGTCGCTACTCGACTTGCAATGCCGTCCCGTCACTTGGCCACCGACTCAGTCGTCACGTCCTCATACAAACGCTGTCTCTGGTTGCATACAAAACAAGTGCAGCTGACAGACTGCAGAGCAGACAGACATAGCAATTCGTGCAGTTGTCGGGCAGCAAACCGGACCCAGACGCGTCAAACTTCTCGTGTCTATCGTTACGGTCGCGAGCGCAACAGCGTCTTGTTCACCGACCAGAGCTGAGCCACGTCTACAGACGCACGACCTCCCAGTCCTCCACAGTGCGGTCCAACACGTCTTCGGGCGCCGTGTCGAATGGTCCAGTTTCTAGCATAGAACACGAAAGCGAAACACAGTGTCGACAACAGGCGCAAAACAAGCCACACGTCAGGCTGAGAGCTCCACAAGCTTCGACAATGCACGGCACAGTCCCTCTTGCACACGCACCTGTTCGTCGCGGGTTGTGGCGTTCCTTGAGAACGGCAGGCTTGGGGATGATCGTGCCCGTCTTCTTGGACACTCGCACCTTCTCGCCTTCTTCCGTAAAGCGAATGGCGACCCGCGTCGGCTTTCCAATTGACGGATCAACGAGATTCACGTTGCTGTAGTGGATCGGCGACGGCGACAGGTACGAGCGCCCCGCAGCTGCAGGCGTTGCCTTCACGTAGCGGTGGGACTAGTTACAACAACAACAACACACACACACACACACACGCACACATAGCACCAGTTGCCAAACAGCAAAACAGCAGCAGAGCAAGTCAGTCAGTCAACACGCGACGCGTCTCTCAACTTGCCAAGCAGCTCCGCACCATGTTCAGGTTCTCTACAATGACTTTGTTCAGGTCCCGCACGACACTCACGACCTCGCCTTGTGTGCCTTTATGAGGTCCAGCAATCACTTCAACCTGTAGCAACCAATGGACACGTAAACCGGTCGACACAGTCAGTGAGCTACATGTATTCGATACACAAATCTCGTCGTAATATGCAATACATTTGTAAGAAAAAAATACATATATAATACTAATGATATCGACAATACAATACATCAGTAATACAACAAAGACGCGAGTGCATTCGTATACTATTTGATAGCAAATGCCTTTTCGGGGTTAGCGCACTACGGATCTCCACCACTCGAGAGTGTGTCCACGCCCCCTCCTAATATATATATACATACATACATACAATCGACGCGCGTCGCACCTTATCGCCGCGAAAGACGTGCCACGTCTTGATGAGGTCAATCGCTTTCTTCTTCGTGCGTGGGCCGCGTCGAAACGCAATGGGAATCCGCGTCGTCATTGCCAACAAGCGCTTCTCCTCGACCCGTCGAATTCGCGCTGTGCGGAAGCGGGCCACGAGGAGCTCCGGTCTGTTTTGATTGGCTATAATCGAGCCCCTCTCGCGCTGAGTTTCGCCATCGGCCGATCCAATCAACAGAGAGCTCGCGTCCATCCCGTCCTGTGATTCGCTGAAATCTTGCAGCCACCCGAACAAGCGGCCAGTGGATCACCAGCGAGGCACAAACAATCCCCAGCAGCTCCGCCCCACGAAAAGCTCGCGCGTCTTCCACGACCAAAGAGCTGACGCAGGCGATGGCGGACGGTAGCGAGCCGACGCAGGAGGTGGCGTTGCCGCCGCCTGTGGACGACGAACCAGTGGCGGCTCCGGCCGCTGTACCTGACGATGTGGCCGCCATGTTCGACCTCAAGAAGAAGAAGAAGAAGGCCAAGAAGGTCAAGAAAGAGGTACTCGACGCGACGATCGTCTCTTGAAGACGACTTGTGGGCCTCGTTTCGGGCGGTGTTGTGGTATACTGGTACTGACGATGTCGTTGTTGTTTTCGTCCTCTTGTTTCTTGTATGTGTGTGTGTGTGTTTCTGGTCGTTTGGCTCGATTCAAACTGCTAGAAAAACGACAAGGCGGACACTGCAGTGACGGACGCAGAGGTTGGCCCCGACGCGACGTCGGTGCTCGTGCAGGACCCCGCGACGTACTCGTACAAGGACGAGCTCCTCGCCCGCATCATTGCCAAGCTGCACGAGAACAACCCCGAGCTGACGGACCGCAAACGACACACGATGAAGCCGCCGCAGCTCATGCGCGTGGGTACAAAGAAGACGCTGTGGGTCAACTTCCAGGAGATTTGCCAGATGATGCACCGGAGCCCCGAGCACGTGCTGCAGTTTACCTTGGCGGAGCTCGGTACCGAAGGCTCGATCGACGGCAACCAGCGCCTGGTCATTCGGGGGCGCTACGTGCCCAAGTACATTGAGTCGCTGCTGCGCAAGTACATTACCGAGTACGTGTCGTGCCAGATGTGCCGCTCGCCCAACACGACGCTCACGCGTGACTCGGTCAGTCGTCTCTACTTTGTGCACTGCCAAGACTGCGGCTCGTCGCGGTCCGTGGCTGCCATTCGCTCGGGTTTCCACGCAGCTACTCGCGCCGACAGACGGGCTGCACGCAAGTAAGGTGGCTGCTGATGGCGACGTGCAGTCGCAGTTGCTTGGGACGCACAGCAGGACGGTCGAGCAGTGTTTAGCTATGGTGGATTGGACAGGATAGAGCAAATCTCGACACGCGAGCAGTAGACGTCTTTGCTGCAGAGCTGCTCCCATTGGCTTCGTTCGAGCTGTACGTGAACCAGGAGGAACCGAAGCGAGCGAGATGAACATGGAGACGGAGAAATCTATGATAGCTGTTCAGATGTCACGACATACTAGCCGGTCTTGTTGTCTGCGGCTCTCTTTGACCACGATACCTCGTTCTTGCTCAGTGGCGGTCGTGCTTGCCCTTCTTGGTCTTGAGTCGATTGCCAGAATCCACGGCAGATCGCTTCGCATATTGGCGCGAGATAATGATATGACGCTCGAGTCCCGAACCAGTGCTCTCGTGCGCAAGACCGAGGCGCTCAGCACAGTCATGTGCTAGCAGCCGCTCAAAGCCGTTCAAGTTGGCATTCAAATGCAGCTCGCCCGGTTCGCTGGAATCACTGAACGCCTCAATCTTCTTGACCAGCGTGTGCGAGCTGCCATCAGAGATACCCCCAGCCTTGTGCTTCCTCACAATAGTCGGCGCGTTGCCAGGACCAGGCGTCGAGTTCGACGACTTGGACAACGATACCGACGCCAGCTTCTTCGCAGCAAGTTCTGGAGCAGATGTCTTCTTCTCCGTCTTTTTCTTCTTCGTCTTCTTTTCCACCGCTTCGGTCGAAGCCAAGTCTTCGGAGCCACCACGCAACTCGGAAGACGCTTTGTTCTTCTGTACCGACTTCTTTGCCCGCTTCGCCACAGGTTTGCGCGTCGCGTTATCGTCAGAGTCGCTGTCTGACTCGGAAGATATTTCAGCCAGCGTAGACTTGCGAGTCCGTGTGACCTTTGCAGTAGACTTGGAGGGAGCGTCGTCGTCGTCTTCGGACATAGGCGATGCGGCCTCTTCCGGCGATGAACCAGATGCTCGAGTTAGCTCGGAAGATACATCGTCGGGGCTGTCGGAATCTGACAACGACTCGGTCTTCATAGCCGATATAGGTCGAGCTCGAGCCTTGGCAACAGACTTGTCCTTGCGATTGCCGGAATCCAGTGGCCGAGACGCTGATGATCCAACGGCTACAGAAGACGTTGCCGGTGCCGAAGCTGGCAGCTTCACATCGTCAAAGTCCTCGTCCGATTCCGTTTCGATTGCAGTAGTGGCAGTCGTCACATGGCTGTCTCTGGACTGTGCAGTCACGGGCTCGTCCATTTCTTCATCGTCCGACGAGTCTGAGTCACTCGAAAACTGAAGTAGCGGGACACTTTCGACATACGGCATAGGATCGACGGACTTACTTTGTGGCGGCTCCTCCATCGGCTGAGCGCCATCGCTCTTTTCCTTCTCACTCTTCGTCAATACCTTGTGCTTTTGCTTTGCCTCCTTTGTCGCTAAATCCTGTCCTTTGCCATCACTTGATAGATCGACGCGGACGTGCTTCCGCAAACTCTTGAACTTGTGCACACTGGTATCACACGACGCACAGAATGTGGATTCGCATTGCTCACAGCGTACTCTGGCAGTCACCGACTCACACTCGATGCAGCTTGGCAGCGTCGGTAATGACGGTAGTTTCCTGCGCTCATGCTTTGCCATCACGCGAGCACGGTGCACCGCCAAGTTACAGTCGTCACAATACAGAGAGCCCTCGCATTGTGCGCATTCCCACGCAGCTATGCCAGGCTTTTCGCACTCGGCACATAGACGGTCGTCCTTCTTCGGTCGAGATTCAGGTTCTCTTACGTCTTCTCTGCTGCTTCGAGCAACAGCTTTCGGTGGAGAGGGCTTCGCTAACGGCGCACTTGTCTTCGTAGTATGGACAAACCTGCACGCCGCACCACGGCTACACACTCCGCTTTCGAAGAAAAGACAAATCTTTGCAGTTTTTCCCGTTGTCAAAGAGCCGACGTCGCGCTTCGAAAGACCCAGTACGTGGGCAAAGTTGCACGCCTCGCCCTGCGAGCAGTAACCGCGTGCATAATGCCGGCAAATCTTGTCTGAAATGGCTTGTATCTCTGGCGGTACAACATTCGCTCGATGACCGCCCTCTCGTGGTTTCGCTTCTTGATCACCCTCACGTGTATTCGCTTGTTGTTCAACCTCTCGCGGTTTCGCTACTGCCGGTGCCCTTGGCTCGTGCAACCTTTTGGTGGCAACAACAACAGGCGGCGCGGTCGGAGCAAACGCTGCATCATTTGTCACGTGATAGTACCTACACAAGCGTCACCGTGAGCCGCATTCGCACTGCAGCCGTCGCACAAACGATAGAACAAACACACAACGACAGGCAAACGTACTTGCACATGTCGCCTTTGCGACAGATACCAGCTGCAAAGCCGCGACAGGGCTCCGACGTCTTTTTGAACGGGCGCTGGAGCGACACCTTGAGCGTCTTGCCCTGAACGACAGCTCCATTGGTCGCCTGCACTGCTTTCAGAGCATGTCGTTTCTGGGCAAAGACCACGTGACTAGCGAAACCCAAAGAACAAGACACGACCGAATTAGTCCAACACGGCTCATTCACTCCCGCCCTGCCGCCCGCCTCGACGCTAGGCAAGTACAAGAGCAAGCAAAAGACACACATGGCTACACTGTCGTACGCGGAGTTGGTGCCATTGTGTTTCACGCGCACGACGGGGCCGTACGTGCGGTACATGTTCATGAGCGCGCCATCCGAGATCTCCGTGCCGATACCAGACAAGACGATAGTCGCCACGTCGCCCGCAGGAGGCGCAAATCGAGCGCTCGACGTCGTCATAGCCATCACGGGCCAACGAGTGAATTGGCTGGTTCCTCGGCTTTGTGGATGGCACTGTTGCGAGGTCGTGCTCAGTCGCGCGGTAGTGACACTCTCGCCACGCTCAATCGAGAGGTCATTCGCGCGGCGAGTTTTTAGCGTCAAGGGTATGTATGACCTAAACTACTATTGCTACTACTACTACTACTTTACTACTACTACTTAACTACTACTACAACGACGACGACGAGACTACTACTACTACTACAATTACGGGAACGACGAGGACTTACTAACTACTATACTACTACTACTACTGCAATACTACTACTGCTAATACTACTGCTAATACTACTACTGCTTCGACTGCCTATTCTACTACTAAAATAAAAATATGAAGAAGAAGTAGAAGTAGAAGACGATGTACGAAGAGCAAAAATAGGCATTTAACTATGTTTTTGGTGGAACGAACGATTATTAATATAGTAATATCCAATTATCATGACGACGGAGAAGGAAGAGCAACAGGCATTGGTCGACGACAATGGACAGGACGCTGGCGAGACGAAGACTGACCCGGTCGACCGACATGAAGACGTCGTGGATCACGAGCACGTGGACGGAGGTGACGATGCACGAGAAGAAGACGAGAGAGCTGCAGCTGAAGAAGACAACACCAACGTCGAGACGGTGCCAAACAGTAGCGACTCCTCGGAGCAACAAGAGGACGAGACGCTTGTGGTGCTGGAGCTCTGCGACTTCAAGAACCATCCGCTGTTTGACGACTACAGCTCGGCGACGCTTGAGGTGCGTGTGTGCTCGAGAGGACTTGGCAAAAGAAAAGGATGAAAGTGACACGCTTGGATGGGGTGGGGCTTTGCGTGACTTGTGCAGGGCATTGACACGGCGACGCCAATGCTGCGGATTGGCGAGTACACGTTGCACGGTAAGCTGGAGGAGACCGTGGGCACGAGTTACTTCTACGACACGGACACGACAAGAGCCGCCGACAAGACGTATCAATTCGCAGGCCAGACGATCAAGAAGATCAAGTTCACCATCACACCGCCCGAGGAATTCTAGACGCGAGACTGACTGATGAGGACACCTGCGTTGTGCGAGGAGACGAGGTAAGTGATACAACCGCCATCGCTCGTTGCAGGGCCTCGAGCTCTGTTCATGTGCCGTTTTATTTGCTTGTTATCGACACGACGCATCGTCTCGTTTCCGAGCTAGACGAACGCTACGACCGACCACGAACCCGTCGACCAGTCTACCTCGTGAAAACGGTGCCGCGTACAGGAGCGTCATCGTGCGTTTTTGCATGCATGTACGTGCGTTTGCTCAACGGTAGAGCTGCTCCACCGAGAGGTTCTTGGCAATCTCAAACTCCCACTTGTCTCCGTTGGCCAGCAGCTTCGCCTTGTCGTACAGCAGCTCCTCGTGCGTCTCCGTGGCAAACTCAAAGTTCGGACCTTCCACAATCGCGTCCACGGGGCACGCCTCCTGACAAAATCCGCAGTAAATGCACTTGGTCATGTCAATGTCGTAACGCGTCGTACGACGCGCACCGTCAGCACGCGGTTCCTGCACCACCACCAACATGAACAGTCCACTCGTCATCAGTCAAAGTCCATATTGCACGAGACAACCAGCTCCAAGAACAAACAACCAAACAAACAAAACACAAAGAACGAACAAAAGACTACTTCTGACGTACAGCCTCAATGGTAATGGCCTGAGCAGGACAGATGGCTTCGCACAGCTTGCAGGCGATGCATCTACTCCACCAGCATCAACAACAACAACAACAACACCACCAACAAAGCAATCAATAAGCGTCCAAGACGTCGACCACCAACTAACTGCTTGACAAGCCGATCGAGCGACTTCTACTGCCACGCACCGCTCCTCGCCGCTGGGGTAGCGACGCAGCGCGTGTTCGCCGCGGAAGCGCGGACTGATCATGCCCTTCTCGAACGGGTAATTGATCGTCACTTTGCGCTCCACGTGCACCTCCCACGCCAACCACGTGGCTCGAAACACGTCCGACAAGAAGAACGTGTCCGACATTTTCTCAATCACTTCGCCCCACGTGGACTTGGGGTCCTGTTTGCCCGCTGCCGGCACGCTCGAAAATCCGCGGGAACCACTGGTACCAGCCACCGCATCGAGCGCGGCGCGGCGAGTAGCAGCCGCAGCTGTTGCAGCCGATCGACGGAGCTGGAGCGTGTGCATGGACCGAGCGTGTTCGAAAATGGCGATCAGCGGAGGTGGGTGGCCCCCTCGAACGACGTTCGTGCAACACGACATGGGGTGGCGCTGCGGACGCTGTTTTGGAACCGAACGTTGTTTTGCGCGGGGAGGTCAAATGTCGGGACGCGATTGGCGGTAATTGATCCAGTGGACCCTCTGGAAGTAGGCGACAAGACAATCAGGTGGTGTTCATTGGCTGTAAATCGACAGCGACGTCCAAGCTGAAAATACGAGCAAACGAGTATGTATGGTGATTGTAAAAAAGAGACTGTGATTGTAAATGTTGTTTTTCATCATCTTATTACTGTATCTGTGACAGTGACTGTGATTGCAAATGTTATTTTTAACCATCTTTTTACTGTGACAGTGACTGTGATTGTGACTGTGACTGCGACTGTGGCTGTGATTGTGACTGTGACTGCGACTGTGGCTGTGATTGTGTTTTTTTTATTTATCTTTCATTGCGACTGTAGTTGTTTTGTGATTATTTTATCTTTGTTTTGCGACTGTTGTTTTTCGTCCTATTTTTTATTATCGATATCGAATGGTGTCGAACGCGTTTGTGCTGTGCAGAGTGCGGCACAATGTGAGTCTGTCGCCATGTCACAGCATGGAGCCGCGCGTGGGCATTGAGCAGGAACTAGTCGAGCAGCTCATGCACTACTCGGAGCCACTGCAGGGCGTTGTCCTGAGCTTCAGCAACGTGCAGCTGGATCGGCCCTACGGCGCAATTGTGAACGAGATGCCGTTTATTCACTGCAAAGTCCTGGCTGATGCTCTGGTGTTCCGTCCACTAAAGGGCATGAAGCTGCGTGGTACTGTCAACAAGATCGGCAGCAACCACGTTGGAATGCTCTTTGCTGGCGTCTTTAACGGCTCCGTGGCTGAGGCCGAGCTGCCCAAGGGCTTTGTACACAATTACGCCCAAGACTGCTGGTACACTGCTGCTGCTGCAGTACCGATAGTAGCAATTGTGTGGCGTCGTGGCGGAGTCTATGAGTCTGACATTGTGATCCTGATGCTGCAGGCTCGGTGAGGACGGCTCGTCCATTGCTGTGGCAGACGAAGTGGACGTGAAAGTGCTGCGGTGGGATAGATGCTACACGGTGTGTGTTCTTGCAATATTCGAGACACTGATGATATGGCTATGTGGTTGTTTTTGCTGCTGCTGCTGCTGCTGCTGCTGTTAGAGTCCACGTTGCGGGTGGTATGATTGCGATTGAGGCTACGATGCGTCTTGCCGACAGCAAGGTCGTGAAGCCTTTGTCGGCGAAGAAAACTCAGAAAGCGACGCACCTTAATTTGGTGGCAGGTGGGCCCGTGACGACGTCGTTTGAGGATAAGGAAAGCAAGCGCGCTAAGGAGGTCGACGGAAGCGAGAAGAAGAAGGCAAAGAAGGCGAAGAAAGACAAGAAGACCAAGGAGGCGGGTGCAGACAAGGAGAAGAAGAAGGTGCGGAAAGTACAGAACGGTGCGGAGGTCGAGTTGACACCAGCAGCAATAGACGATCATGACATCGAGAAGAGAAAGGAGGAGAAACGAATGAAAAAGCGCAAGCGTAAGGAAGACGCCATGGCGGAACCGAGCAAACACACGGCGAAAGATGCCGATAAGAAAGAAAAGCGCAAGAAAAGCAAGCACGATTAGACAAGCAGGGAGGATGGTGCCCGAAGGCGGGGAATAGACAGATAACAAATATCGAGTTGTACGTGTTTTGTGTATATTTACTTCTAAGAGCGCATAGTCTCATGGACCTGGACAAGTGTTGCGGCGCTTACCAGTGTCGATCCAGTGCATATGTCTCATTCATCGGCAACCATCAGCACGCTACTCGTACGAGACGAGCTGCCGCAACTCTGCAGGTATTTCTGGCAATGGCTGTCTTGGGTCGCGAAGGGTCCAATTCGGAGACTGCTGCGCCTTATGCCACTTGAAATCGTTCACTTTCGCCCAGAGCCCCGAATCCTTTTGCAACCCTAGGCGCTCAAGCTGTGCCCTGAGTCCATCGAACTGCAAGCGATAAGGCCCAAACTGCACCTGCTGGCAGTTCTCGATAATCGGGTGGCTCGAGATGCGCAGGTGGAAGGTCGTCGCAGAGCTCAAATGGACGCGCAACTGACGACACGCTACGAAGAACTCACACCCGTTGCAGTGTTCCAGCCACAAACTTCCGAAAATCGCGCCCGTGTAGAAGACGCAGTTCTTCAGTGCATCGCCGCGGATAGCCGATGTCTCCACACGTACGAGCACAACACAGTTGGTCAAATGGGAGAAGTTCAAGTCGCGGCGCTTGTCGTCTTTGTTACTGAAGCTGTGCTCGTCAATGACAATCACCTCGTTGTGCTTGTTCGCGTGCACAAGTTCACCAAACTCCATCGTTTTCTGCATTGCCAACAGCAGCTGTTGCTCATCCGCAGCGTCGATCACGGCAGATCGCCCGTCCCGTTCTAGTTCGTTTGGCTGCTTGGCTTCAGCACTCTTTGCTGCACGAGCTCGAAACGTGAACTTCTTTCTTGGCGCAAATGTCGCGCGGGTGTGATCGATGATCTCCACGAGTTTCGACAGAATCAGTTGCGTTTGGCGCGTATCATATGGCGACAGATAGAGTGAAGCTGCCGTCGCCGCTGCATCTCTCAAAGCGTTCACTTCGAGCACCAGAGCGTCCAGCTGCACCTCCTCGGCCGGTTTACACGGCAGCTGTTGTTGCTTCTGCTCACGAAACAGCATCACCTGCTTCCTCACATGGTCCTCGTGCTGTGCAAACTTTTCCCAGAACGCCGTTGCCAGCGCATCACTTGACAGTTCCCGATACGGCTTCAAAGCGTCGGCTGTCTCGAATCCAGCGTCCCTCTTTGTCCATTGCTTCTCCTTCCGCCGTTCCTCCAGCACGTGTGTGAGACCCTCTCCGTGCGTCTCCAGTACAGGAAACTTTCCCTCCGTGCGCACTCGCTCGGGTCGCACAATCGCTCCATGAAGCGGCTCACAGTCAAAGTATCGCGTGCCTTGGAACGAGCCGTCGCCTTTGCCCAGCGGTTTGTCCAGTCGCACACCGATCCAGCCATCACCTGGCAGGCCGTCCACTTTACCAGTGTACGCAATCGTGCCGTATCTCTGGACGTTCCTCGTACGTAAGCTTCCGCCCGGTCCAGAAGACAGGAGCTCACAGCGCGCCCCGAGCATCGCCGTTTTCCTCGGCAGTGGGTGGGTACTCTTTTTTTCGTCTACGTGGACGTCTTTTCAACGAATCAACGACGACCATTGCAGCAGCCAATCAGCACAAGCTCCCGAGAGACGTTACCCTCTCGTCGTACCGCGTGAAAGGCCGTCACTCGAGATCTCGACCGCCACAGCACAGAAGTGTTCGCTTCGAATCGAAGCAGGCGACTGACCACTACACGACCAGAAGAATGAACCCAGGCGGGCCACCCCCATACGGGTACCCCCCGCAGCAGCCGGGGTACCCTCCTCAGCAGGGATACCCGCCACAACAGCAACAAGGGTACCCCCCGCAGCAACAAGGGTACCCTCCTCAGCAGGGATACCCGCCACAACAGCCAGGGTACCCTCCTCAGCAGGGATACCCGCCACAACAGCCAGGGTACCCGCCACAACAGCCAGGGTACCCGCCACAACAGCCGGGGTACCCGCCACAGCCGGGGTATCCTGCTCATGGACATGGACACAAACATGGGCACATGCCCGGCTACGCGTACGCCCAGCCTGCGTACGTCGCGCAGCCTGGCGTGATCCTGGCTGGAGGTAAGATGAAGCACGGCAAGATGAAGCACGGCAAGCACAAGGGCTACAAGTTTGGCAAGCACAAGGGCCATAAGCACAAGGGCCATAAGCACAAAGGGTTTAAGGGTAAAGGGTTCAAGAAGGTGGGCAAGAAGATGAAGAAGATGTTCAAGTAAGTAAGACCGGTCGACTGCGGTGAAGTGGGGCGAGCCGTGGACAAGATTTCGCAGCAGGCCGAGCTCCGCCCTGAGCAGCTGCACGAACAGCAACGACGTTGTCGTGGCGTTGTCGTGGCGTTGTCATCCGTCACGAAGAGCAGCCGGTCGAGTCGACTGACGTGTCGTGATAAGAAAAGCAAAAGAAGAAAAGAAGAAATGATGTTGTTGCGTGTTTGGGACTCGTATACGTGTGCACAAAACAGATCGACAAAAAAAGAGAACGCAGTGCGTAAATTGTCGCTATTGCCAGGTGGCGTCATCAAAAGTCGCCCGTACCACAGGAGCCCGTCGAGTTGCGTTCGGGTAGTCGTTGATCGACATGTGGACGGCAGACGGTCCCCTGTTGCACCGGCGGAAAACTCCCATACAGCCTTCCGAGCCTGCAATGCGTCCGGCTCATTTGCTGGACCGAGTTGCTGGCCGAGTCGCGTACATGGACTACTACAGTGAGTCTCTGTCATTCGAGTTCGTGCATTGTACAGAGAGCAAGAAAGAGGTGTTGTTGATCGGACTTGGCACGTACTGACGGCCTCATCGATGAACGCGTAGCCGCTACGTATGTCCTGCCGGGTGAGCCGGTGGTTGCACGACGGCTGGACCAGCCTAAGAGTAACCGCATATCGACTGGAGGATTGGAGACGCAGGGGAGAGATTTTACAAGAGCGGACGAGCGATCTGCTGCTACTCAGGCGAACACGTATGTCGATCAGCGATAGCGGTGCAAAGCAAACGGTTGTCGCTTCAACTGTCTGTCGTTGTTAAGGAACGTGCACCTGTGCTCTGTCGATTGCAAAGACGATGTTGTGTGCATGGCGAGCCATCGGGCGTACCACATTGGTCGTCGACTGTGCCCATCGTGAACATCAGCCTCACACAAAGGGCGTGCACTGATGCCCCACGCCCCCACAACGGCAGGAGCTTCCGTCGCTTTCCGTCTCGCGAACAGTTTTCGCCGCATTTCTTTACGACACTCCTTCGTCGAGCCCAACGCGTTGGCTCACTCGACAGCAACGTGGCCGTACGCAGCTTGACAGCGATTGCCAGCAATGGGGACACAATTCTACCCAACGACGGACTGTCGGGGCGTTGTACTGCGTTTGTCGTATGTTTTTACGGAAGAGAGTGTCGAGTCGACACGTTGCCGTGTCGTGACAATGCTTCAACGACAACAAGGCTGTAGTTGATCCGAATGCTCTGTGTGTCCGGTAGCAATCACTCACAATCGGCTCGCGCTCTCGTCGTCAAATGGCAACCCGAAGCTTCATGGTCCAGGCTTACATCCATCAAAGATGCGTTCATACGGCCTTCGGGGGATTCTTCGTAGTGAGGTATGTATGTACACGCGAGCGTGCACGGTATCCGTGAAAGCTGCTGGTTCCCAAGATGCGACGAGGTGCGAGACGCGTTTGCTCCACGTGCTTCAGGTCCGCTGATAAGAGCTACACACAATCATAAGATGGATGACAGATCTCAGTTGTCGACAATGACCGCAGCGCACCTGCTCTCGTGAGCTACAGGAGGCACAAAAGCGCTGTAGCACACTACCAGGTGGTATGCCCTCGTAGAGACGACGACTGTGAGAGCCGAGTCGAGTCCACACGAGCACCGCGAACGGATCGCAACTCGTGGACGTCCAATCGAAATTGTACATGTCGCTATCGTTCGATGCGCATGCGATGGCGCACCTGTTCTTGTCGTAGAATTTCCAGCAGTCTCTCTGTCGCTATGCATCCGGTGCCCACGTGGTGCATATGACTCTCGTGCAGCACTGCCACCTCAACTTTCATTTTCTCTTTTGTTGCAGCACACTGCAGACGACTACTCCACTCCACTTCACTCGATTTCCAGCGTCTCACCTCGTCGGCCATGAACTTCAGGACCGCCCGCTTCATCGTCATCGCCTCAATCGCCTCGACTATCGTCCACGCTTTCACTAAATATTGTTATTCCTACGGCCATTGCCGTACTAACAGAGGACTTGGTATTTCGTCGACACAATGGTGCATTGACCGCGCCACGCCGAGCTTATCGCTTGAGGCGTGCTGCCAGAATTGCTGTGGAAGTGGATGCAAGTTGGTCGGTGACGCTGCGCCTTTCGACAGCCTGAGTTAGGTTCTTTTCGGGCGATCCGACCCATGATGGATTGGCATCGATTCAGCGCTACGCGGCTCGACAATCCATTGCACGTTCAGCGAGTAATGGGACCAAACTTGAACAGAGAGATGAAGTAATTTGGCGTTCCCTCAGCGTTGTCGCGTTCTCATTGCGTTGTATGGCCATTGCCGCACGCGTCGATAGTAATGCCTTTGCACTTGTTGTTCCGCTTCTGCCGAAACAATTGCAAGCCACAGACCTCGCAAACAAAATGTGTAGTGGTCATTGGGCTCAGAAGCTTCTTCATGTCAGTCGCGCAGCTTCTGATGCAGCTCGCCCGTACTCAACCTGCTCTTCGGTTGTCTACTGTAACGTACACTGTGGAAGACGCAGTCGTTTGCGCAGGGCCATTGCGTAGTTTGCTTGAGCAGCAAAGCTGTAATACATCTCGCACTGCTGAGTTGATGCAGCGAAAACTTAGCTATATGCACGTCGATGTCGGACGAGTGGGGGGAGAATCTACAGGCATTCATACTATGGTCGTGAGTCGAATGTTATGCGACACAGAGCCAACACTGACACGCAACTGAGCTACGCACGCGTGTCATGCAGCTGACCAAGTGCGAGCACGTGCGCTAAGCGAAGATCTCGTTCGGTGAATCATAAACTCGCAACCCATTGACGACGTCCTCTTCGCACAACGTCCCGAGACAGAGTGCCATCTACAATATTGACGGACAGAGCTGGCGAGGACATTGTCACGAAAGCTGCGTCGACAGTAAACGAGCAAACTCTGCCACAAGTGCTGCTGCTGACAACGTCTCGAAAATGCAAGTTTGTGATGCGAGGCAAGTAGACAGGAGGTGCTCTGACGTATGAGGCTGAGTCCGCCTTCAACGCGAACGGGTTACAACAACAGCGACCGTGTTTGGAGGATACATCATGACCTGTCAGGCTGGAGAGACAAGCAAGTGTCAGCAGTACGCCTACTACATTGCTTGCCATCATTGCATGTATTTGGAAGTATGTCTGTATCCAGCGTCGACTAACGTAAACTCGGTGAACGAAATGGGTATCCGCGAGCCATAAACGTTGTTTCGTCCTGATCCGCAGCGACGTTTGAGGTTTGCGAATGAAGTTCGCAATACAATAGGACCCACAGACTCCAGAAGTACTGTTACGTCTTTTGTCAAGCGGGTAGAGGAAGTGACATTGCATCATTGGTTTCCAGCGCCTTGGCAGACCACTTCTAGACGCAAGTGGGTCGAACAGTATCCGATTGAACCATCAAGAGGGTAACATCTTCTGGTAACATCGTCCGCCTGCTGTTCCATTGTATGTGGTTGCTCGGGAGATTCGAAAGGGCGAAAAAGTCAGGCTGGATGGTCTCATTTGATGTCAGACGTTAGCATCTTAAATAGCTGTGACCATCCGCTTGTACACATTACTACCATGCCATGACATCGCTCTTGCTGGCTGCTTTTGTCGATCATTCACACTGTGCTTTATGGCTTCTTACGAACCCATAAGGAGCGCAGCAAGTTTGAACGCGCCTCGGCAGTATGATCAAAGTCGATATGACACGACGCTCGCTCGATCCAGAATATCAATGTGGTGAGACTGGAAATTGAAGCGACTTCAGCTGGAGCCCTGTGCATCGATGATTGACGGACTCGGTTGAACGGCAACCCATATCGTCGTTCTGCTGCACCATTGCCCTCGCATATACGTCCTGAGCATGGATCGTGCTTCATCAACTGTCGTCGTTCAGAGTTGGCGCGATCGTTCCGACGAGGCACTCGGTAGTCACGCAAAGCTGAACGGAACGAGGCAGGTCGAACTAGACTTGACTCTGCCACCGTGCATTTGTCGATACTCCCTGATGCATGCGTCCTCGAAGGCCGTCACATCGCGCCGTGTTGCCGTCAGCTGCGATCGGATCATGATTGATTCTGGTTGCACGGGTTCTGCTCGTAGCATCTAAACATCCTGTTGGTACAGTGTACTAGCCTTGACCCACTTCCTGCAGCATTCACATGGCGGAGAATGCTCATTGTACATCGCGTTGTCGTGAGAGGATCGATAGTGCACTGTCGTTCGTATTGTACATTCGCATGCATTCGCTTTTTCTTCTGCACACGCACTGTTACAGCAGCACAATGAGCTGCTGCATGATCGACACAGCTGTCTTCGGGTTCATCTTTCTCATCAAACTGTTTGCGCTGTTCTTCTCAGGCACTTGGTTCACGCGTCGAAATGAGGCCGTTGCGTTATGCAGTGCCAGCTTTCTTGATAACAGCTCCTGCAAACCACCCAAGCGCTTCTCCGCTTCGCGCCAACTCTCTTGCACTCCGCCGTTTCGACCGACCAGCGGTTTCAGCACTCGAAAATAGTACGCGACGACTTCCGCTGACAGCACAAAAACGTGGTGCATGTCCCGGTGAATGTGTAGCAAGTCCACCAGCGTGTCCAAAGCGCGCAGGTCCACGTCGAGCCGGTTCTTCTCCTCATCAGTAGCAGCATATACCCGCGTCGGTTTGCGCTTGTCAGTTGACCGCCGATACACTGTCAGGTTTTTCAAGACCAGCAGTAGCTGGTGCAGTAGCTCTACGTGCGGGCGGCTGCGATTGAGGCCTCGAATTGCTGCAAAAATGGTTGACGAGATCTGCAGCTGAACGCACTTGTGACAGCATTCACGCGAATACCGCGTGCACACTTCGATGGTGTGGCTTGCAAACAACATGTCTTGTAGTCGCTTTCCGTGGAGCAGCATGTGCAGGGCCATATCAAGGCGTGATCCCAACGTCTGTAGCTGTTCTGTCTGAACACCCCTTTCTGCACTAGGCTTGACCTCCAATCGATGCGAATCGGCCGACGACGTGTCTGTCTGGCCGTGAGGCGCTGATCCAACCAGCTTCATCGCTGACAGTTTCTTGCGGTGCCGAGTAATCTCAGACGTACTATGATGCAAGCGCACCACAGTGCCGCGCCACCATGCTTGAATCGTCCGCGCTGCCACGAGGTGGAAGTTGCGCTCGCGGTTCGGACAAATTACCTTGTCGTACAGCCACGAAACCACGATACGCTCTGCACGGGCCTTGGCCATGGCTAGTGCCATCGCTTCCATCTCGCGCTGTTGCTGCAACTCTTCATGACGCCGACGCTCCGCCCACTTGCAACAGAGTCCGAGCCACCATATCTGGATGCAATGGGCCGCATCAGCCGTCTGCTGCCTTCGCTGGATTCGAGCTCTGATGACACTCCTGAAGCAACACGACCGCCAGCACGTTGCGATCCTGTTTGCATCGGCAATCCGCTTCTGCAGAATGCTAGCTCGGAATCGCATCCAGTGGGATCGCACCACTAACAAACGCTTTCGGCGGTACTTCAGCATGCGGTTCGCGTACCAGTACTCAATCCGCCAACACGACGTCAGCATACGCAGCCGCTTCAACTGCGCCTGCAATGGGTAGAAGCTGAACCGATGGCGGCGCGAAAGCCATCCGCGTACACACCTTTGAATGTTCACAGATGCACGCTGCAGATACAACGCTCGACGGAAACGCACCACCATCATCCGACGGCGCGCCAAGCGCTGCATTATCACCACACTAGCGCGGACGCTGGCATATTGGTGCTTTTGTTTACACCCGCGATATACAGCCTGAATGAGAGTAGCTGCAAGCACCCGTTTGTGAAGTGTGTAGCAACGATAGGTCGACTGGATGCGGCACGCTGCATGATACTGCACCGTTTCCTGAATGCGCTGAAGACGCTGTTGACGGACACGCTCTTGCTGTTCTTCTGCATCCCGTTGCATGCGCTGGTACCGCAAGAGCAAGCCTTGAAACATCAGCAGCGCCCGAACCTGTTTTCGGCGGCGCCATATTCGGACGTTTTCCTGAAGTAAGCATGTGCTTGCACGGAGACAGGAGTACCAACGGCTTGCTAACCACCCTCGCACCACACACCCGATTTTTGTTGCAGCAGACGATCGTTTCTGAAATCGGTGATTCCGATATACAGACTGAATGCAGCGCGCTGCCCGCGACGCTGCCTTGGACCGCAGTTCCTGCAGCTGCACGACACGTCGATGCTCCTCCTTTGCCTTCATTTGCCAGTAGGTTTTCAACATGCTGTAGAACTGCAGCAGCGCAGACAGCTGCTGCCTTCGTCGCCATACTCGAACATTGCGCTGAAGCAACACTGCAGCATGCTTTTTCGCTTGGAAGCGCGATTTCTGCTTCACACCTCGGAATGTGCTCGCGAGCCTAGTTGCTGCCATATCCCGCTTCCGAGACACAAACTGGCGGAAACGTTTCTGGACACACGTGGCAGCACGTGCCTCTACTTTACATTTCAGTGCCATCTGTCGCTGTTGTTGCATCTTCTCTTTCATCAGCATATCAAAATGCTGCAGCGCAACAATTCTCTTAGTCTCTTCACGATGACGTTGAAAAGTAACCCATGCCGCCTGAATGACTTGTGCTGCATCATGGTGTTGTCGCCATGTCTGCATACGGTGTGCCCGTGCCGCTAAAAGCAAACGACCCTGCCGCCAAGCAGCTTGAATGCGAGAGACCGCGACGTGTCGGTCAGCAATCATCTGTTGGCGCACAAGACGAGCTCCCTCTCTCGACAAGTACTGCAGCCACATTCGCTCGATAGTGGCACAGCCGGCCTTCACCAGGACCCGCTGTGTGGCCTTGCGCTGTCTGACCTGCGATTTCTTCGCATGTCTCCATTTAAGTTGTTTCCGCCACCAATGCTGGATCACTTGGACTGCACGAAGTAAACTCCCATTGACACGCAACTGTCGATTGGCACGGAAGAGCGCCTGGATTTTTACCACAGCTTTGCAAATACGCAGGAAGTGCCTCCTGACGATCCAACACAGTACTGTGCTCTTTACGAGGTGTGCTGCTCGTAAGAGTTTACGGCACTGGCGAATGGCTAGTCGCTTCTGACTAGAAGTGTACCAGAACCGCTGAATAGTGCGTGCACTCAAGTTTTTCTTTCGATGCATTTGCAGTCGAATCCATGGACTCTTCCACCACCGCTTTAGTCTGGAGGCAGCATGGATTTCGTTGTACGAGTCCATCAGGCGCGACTGCAAGTAGCAAACAAACGTTACCACCATCTTCTCCTCCGGCGGGTTCTTTGTGTTATATTCATGCGGCATGAGCACTGGAACCTCTCCGAGCAGCTTAATGCGGTTGTTGATAGTAGCAAAGTGCTGCTGTTCGTTGGACAAACAGACCTTTTCGCTCATCTGCAGGGCGTCTCTATCACATAGATCAGCGGTTGTCGGCAGTATGTCAGATCTTGACAAAAGCATCGGATGATAGTAGTGAAGCAAGTAGCAAAGCGCTTTTCCGTCAGCAAACGATCCAGAAAAGTCATTCACACCAACGCCGTAGTTAGCACAAACTGCACGACACCATTCCAGCAATAAACCATAGCACTCGTGTTCGTCACTGCAGAGAAGAGGCACATTCTCACACTGCTGATCGAAAAAATCTCTCGCGCGGCAACTCATTCGCTTGACAACATTCGATATCTCGCGTCTCATCGTCTGCGCATCCACAAGGGCTTGTAGCTGGAAGCAGCTGATAAGCTTCCACAGCAATGCCAATGTCTTCTCACGATGTCCGTTTACGATATCTTTGGCCAAATTTCCCATCATCTTCTCGTCGACTTTGTTCCGCAGACCAGCAAACCCGGACGAAGACACGCGGACACGCCCAGCTAACGCGCATTTCTTATCTGGCCGGCGGCTGCTACTTCTGAGATCGTCCAGTATACTCGCACCGCATTTGTCTCGTAGGAAATGCAAGCAAATCTCGACATTGTGCACCTTTTGCAACCGTGACAAAGCCGGCACGCGCAAAAACGTTGACAAGCCTTTTGGCATGGAAGAATTCTCCCCGTCTTGGTCTGCCGATGCAGCTGTAGGCGCCGTAAGCGCATCCATCAGCTTCGCCAGTCGGACGCCATCGCGCAGGTCGGTTTCCAAGTTCTTGACTTCCAAATCAATCTCATCCAATGCGGTCTGCTTGTGGTCCAATGTGTAGCCTAGCCGTTTCAGATGTTTGTCAATGCGACCCTCGCTTGCCAAAAATAGTCGGCAGAATTCGATCACGAGCGTCTGCGAGTCTTTCACCCACGCTTTGTTGCTATCCTCGTTTTTGCTGTTTGTATGTTTATCATTCTTATCGCTCTGGGTCTTCGAAGATGCGGTCGTTTTGGTCGCAGCTGCGATTCGGAAAAGACAGGGGAAGTGCGCAAACTTGTGACTCTTATGTTCAATTGCGCGGTCCAGAAAAAACACCAGCATGAAGAACTTGAGCATAAATGACTGGGTAAGTGAGTCAAAGTATTCTCGGCCGTTGACGTTTTTTCTGGTGTTGATAAAACCATTGCCGCCATCATGAAAGTCTGCAGTGGAGCCGTCTATCGGTGTCATGAGCTTTTGCACCAAGCGATAGTTCTCGGCGACATGTGAGTCTTTGACCAGGTGTTTCAATACTATCCGGCGTAGAACACGAGGCATCTTTTGACTTAATGCCGAGCCTCTTTGTCCCGAAAGCGTCGTTTCTGCAGCACAAGCACTGAATATCGTTCGCAATGAGCACTTTTCCTGTCTCATGACTTGGTTTCCAAGCACGACAAACAACCCCAAGCCGAGCCACATCGGATGATAATTGTTCAGCAAACCGATGAGATCCTCTTGCAAACCAACATCAGCGTACACGGGGCGATCCGCGCGAAACATCAGTCCTTGGCTACCGATCTCATCCTGCAAGTTATACAGAACATCGCTTATGCTAGGAGACTCGTATAATGCGATTGCAGCTTGTGCCCACTTCGACTCCGTTCGTTTCTGCGAGAGCGTGCGCAACGACGCATAGTCAAACTTGCTCTTTGACCGAGCAGCGTGCTCTTCCGTGTTGCCCGGCTCATCGCCTCTGCTCGGGCACAAGACACTGCCATCTAGTAGTACGTAGTTCATCCATTTTGTAAAACCATGGGTCTGTTTTGCCATCCAGTTCTCGTCGTAGATCTCCTGTCGCTGCTTCCACCACGAGCCAGCAAAAAGCTTTTTCGTCACGAACGGATCCTTAACAACACCGACAAACTTTCGCGGTGACAACATCTTCTGCGCACTCGTTAACGACTTGCTTTTCCTTCGCTTAGGTCGGTTTTGTAGTGGAAAAAAGTCGATTACAACGGACGAAGGCCGTTTTCTCTTCACCTTCGCGTTTTCCTTGACCGCAGGCTCCTGTTCTGGTTCAAAGTCGCTAAGCGTCAAGGCACTTGAGATCGCACACGCTTTGCCTATTCGTTTTGACAACGTTCTGCTGCTTACCTGTCTGTTCTTCACCGCAACCACGACAGTATCTACTTGCTTCGACGAAGGACGCATGCATTCAAGCCTCAACAGCTTCGGGACACGCGGTGTCACCACACCTGTTGCCCTGCACTGCATTTCACGTCCATCATTGACTGCAAACTTGAGCATGGCCGTGACGTGGTGCCCTACATCCGTCGAGTGCGGTTCAAACGTCACTCGCAACATCACTGACTTGAGCGCGTCGACCACACACATGTCCAGATCGCACTTGAATCTCATCCTCTTTGTCCGACCTACAGCAACTGACGCTGTCGATTCGTCCTCTATCATCGTATAACCTTCGTACTTGACACGTGCATTGCCCACTTCACTGGCGTTTTCCAGCGTCAAGTGTCTACTCTTCCGCTCACCGAGAGCCACCGTGCCAAAGTGCAGCTGTGCCACGTGGCTACAGTCATCGACAAACAGCGTCGAACTGCCAGCTATTGTCAATCTCTCCGTCCCGTCGTCTACTTTCTTCTCTCCATCTTCCAGACCCAACAAGTGGCCGTGCAGATCCAATGCTCGCGCCTCAACTTGCGTCACTGCTGCGTCCCCCGTTGCTGCTGTATGCCGCCTCTTTTTTTCCAGTGCAGCGCCAACTTCCTGGCCCTCGTTCTCCACGTACACCGCTCGTGATGGAGCAGCTGACGATCGTTCAGTCGAGCGTTGACGTTTTCCTAGCACTTCAGACGGCGCACAGGACTCATCCGTCAGCAGAAGAGACAGCGCGTCATCTACAACGTACTCGTGCTGAGCACTGCCAGTTGTTGGGACGTGTCGCACGTCGTTCCACGGGTCACAAGGCGACGGTCGACAGTTCTCCTTTTCATTCGGCTCTTGTCGCGTGGATCCTGCGACAAGGGCGCAGCCGTTTGCACCGATTGGAGCGGAGCGAGAGGCAGCACCAAGTGGACTATTCAGTGCACGAGACGTCCACTTGTTGACGGCTGGCGGGGCGTCGCGACGGCCGCTGCTCATGTCGCCTGCGGTCTTTCTGCGCGCTGGTGCAATAAACGCACTACGTGAGGACGAAATGTTCGAGTTCGGAGATACACTGTGCCATTGCGTCGACGAGCCATATTGCAATACCATCGCACGAAGGAATATTGCAATCACGCGAAAGGTCCATGTAGCGGAAAAGCGGTGTTGCAATACTTCGTGTCGAAGCCGAATATTGTTGTCACGCACTGTCGAGGTACGAAAATCACGACAACACACACACGACCGGAACACGGTATCCGCACGCCCAAACCGAATAATGACCGAAACCAGTGCGTCGCGGCTCGCTCTGATGTGGCGTACGTCATAAACGTGTTGCGAATTCGTACTTTGGGCGGACACTGGCTCGCCGCCACCCATGTCGAGTCCCGCGGGTCGAAAACGCGCACAAGAGCTCTTCATATTTGGCGATCGCTGCAGCATTGAAAGGGAGGCCCCACCATGTCGACGACCATCAGCAAGGAACAACACGATGAGCTGTGCGTCTCGTACGCGTCCATGATGCTCTTTGACGGCGAGCACGAGATCACGTCGGAGGCCATCACTACGATTGTGAACGCGTCGGGGAACGAAGTGGAGCCGTACTGGCCCACGCTCTTTGCGTCGCTGCTGTCGAAGGAAGGCAAGATCCTGGACTTGATTTCGTCGGGCGGCGCTGCGTCAGGCGCTGCTGCCGCAGCGGGCGGTGCGTCTGGTGCGGCGGCGGCGGGCGGTGAGCCCGCGAAGGAAGAGGCCAAGGCCGTGGAAGAGGAAGAAGAGGTGGACATGGGCGGCGGCATGGACATGTTTGGCGATGAAGACTACTAAGCAGAGGATGCGCAAGCAGCGCACGGTGGTGCAGCCATCCAGTTTCGAAGACGCGGTCGCCAGCCCTGTAGATTCTCTGTAATAAATGGACCTGTGCGTCTATTTATTCGGTCTCCTCCTCCTCCCCCCCAGCGTACCTTCAGTCGTTTGTGATCTGTACGAGAGCGATGACGCTGTGTTGATCGACTCGGACTTGTTTCTCGACCGGCTTCTCCTTGGACACGTACGTACCTGACATGGTTTGCACGCGTGATGGTCGTATCGCAAGGACAATGTCCAGGCTACGACATGCAGGAAGCTCGTTGGAAGGCCACCTATAACCCACGCTATATGTGTCCGTTCCATGCAGCAGCAGCGGCAAATGTGAGTATTTCTCCAGGCTATTGAGCAATTGGTACTCCACTTCACCGTACGTATATGATGCAAACGTGCAGCAACGCGTTCCTTCGTCCCATTTAACCACAACTTTGGCGCTCCAAACGGCACGACGTGGACCATATCCGAACTTTTTTTTTCACAAACACGACGTGCACTACATCAACACACCAATTGCCCCATCGTTTGTATCGTCACAGTGAGTGAGTGGCCCATTGTCGGCCCCCCCCCCCCCCCCCCACACACACACAGACTTCGCTCGCGACCACAAGTCCTCTCGATCCCCGCACAACACATACCCTCTCGTCTTCGATCGATCGACTTGTCCCCTCCCCATCTTTGTCGCGGCCGCCAAGCGCCACAAACGACTCGGCCCCAAAGCTCCCGACTCTCTCCGTCTCGTCCGCTCGCGAACCAATGACTGCGTCTACTGCCGTCGCCAAGAAGGCCGTGAAGTGGCACAAGCTCTCGTACGCGCAGTTCGTGCTGCACGAGGCCAAGCGCGAGCACTTCCAGCCCTTCCTCATCGCTGGCGTGTACGTCTCTGCGTCTCGTTGTTTTCCCCCATCTTCGTTTGCGCTCTCTCTGACGCTGTTGCACACTTTGTATCGGTATGTCGCGGTATTCGACGTCTACTGCCTCTCTTGTCGCTCTAGCGCTGCGTGGGTGATCTGCGGCATCCTCCCGACGCGTGGCGCCACGCAGGAGGACAAGGAGAAGAGCAACTACTGGAAGCGCACGAACGGCAAGTTCGACTACAGCCACCACTAGATGACTGCTGCTCAAGGGCGACAGGAGGCGGCACACGCTGGACCCAAGACAGGACGTTGCGTGGAAGGGCTGTGGGTTCGAGGGAGCGCCGAGGGGGAGAGTTGAGTGCGCTGCAGGCCGAAGCTCGTGGCCGTGGGGGGGGGCCATCCCACGTCTCTGTGGGTCTCGGAAGCGTTGCCGACTCGTGGACGTCGTCGTAAAACGACAGATCGAATACAGCCCAAACGTCTTACGACAGTGATACAACTCGGGAGACTTCTTCTTCTTCGTACTTGCTTCGTCCGCTCTGGCTGACCGGCCTTGCTACACTTTGGTGCTGGGGATCACTCACGATCACGTACGTTGGAATCCCAATGGTGTGCCGAGTCTCGTCGAGTCGCCGTGACGGCGCTCGAGCACAACGAGACGTATCGCGCTGGCGGTCCAGTAACTGTCACTGGAAGAAGCTCGTACTGCGCCGATGCGCTGGCCCGACGACATGTCATAGAGCAGATGCAAAGCAGACTAGTTCCCACATCCTCTAATGGGTCCGACAACGGCCAGACTGCTTACGCCGCAGTGGCAGCAGCGCGCTGCCGCACAATGAAGAAAACAAACACCAGCAGTAGCACAGTTAGCCCAGCGATGAGACCAAGCAGCCCAGTGTTCCAGCGACTAGTGTCTTCGCCAGCGAGATCCTCGCGGTACTTCTGCGCCCAATTCGGCACAATCATCAGGTCTGGTCGCTCGCGATACAGTTCCTCCTTTTCCCGTGGCGTCAGCCGTCGCATCATGGATCGCACCAGCTTCTTGCGCTTCTTCCTGCCCTGCGGCGTGGCGTGCTCGCTAGTTGTATTACTAGTGTTCACCAGCTGAGGCGGCGGACTGCCACTGCCAGCGCTGACAGCATCGTCATCGCCATTCATCAACGAGCGCGTTTCCTGTTTACTACTGTCGTCTTCACAAAACTCTTCGTCCGCGTCCAGCACGTCTTCGTGCCATACAATCTTCTTCTTCATCTGCTTCTGTTTCTGGGACTGAGCACCCAAAGCTCTCTTGTCCGGCTCCAGCGCTGCAACTGTCGAGTAAGCGGACAGACGCTTCAACGCCGGTCGCAACTTCTGGGAACAAAAGTGCTTACCATTGCTCTGCAAAGCTTCCGGCGAGAGCTGAAGTCCGTCGCCATCCGTGTCAAGATCGTCGAGCTTTGACATGGTCGCCAACGGGGACGTCCCGGACAAGAGATCGTATTCCTTCGTTTCTGGCTTCACGAGCTGCTTGGCCCGCTGCAAAGAGCTGACAAACGCCCCACTGATGATGCCCACGGCTTCTGCCGGCGACAGCTTGACCTTGGGCGGGCTACTAACTTGCACTTCGACCTCCATCAGTTCCTTCACCTCGTTCGCAATGGCTTTTGCCCGACGATGAGCCACTTCCATTGCATGTCGTGATACTTCAGGCGAAAACAGCGTCGCGTCGACATAGTCGCGGTCTTCAGCAAGAACCGTTTGCGTCGACACGCGCAGCGGGGGCAGCACTGGCCGCTGCTGCTGCTGCTGATGATGACTCCTGTTCTGGTCCACACCGCCAGCTCCGTCCTTGTGTCCCGTCTCCACGTTCACTGCAACATGACCCTCGACCCGACTGCCGTGCCCTTGACCCGACGCAGACTCTGACGGCGATGACCCGCGGGCGTCAGGACTCCCAGTCGTACACTTCTCGCGGCTGTCGGGCACCGAGACAGCAATGGCGGCGTTCTTCGTGCGTCGCTCCCCTGCGAATGACTCGGCAAACGGCGACTCGAGCGCGTCGACATCGACTACAGTCGCAGACGGCAGCTGCTCCATCGAACCAGCAGCAGGCGCGTCGTCGCTCAGCGAGACGGTCTCCATAAACATCGTACAAGTCGGGAGGGTCGAAGCTCCGGCCGACGGTCGTACTTAGGAGTCCACACACACACACACACGCACACACGCGAGAGGTAATGGCGCGTGCAGATGGGGCAGAGGAGACGCGCGTGTGCGTGTACAGAGCGACAGGGCAGAGGCGCTACACAGACAGACAGACAGATGCTTCGGGACGAGAGCGAGCGCTCTTTGGTTCGATTGCGCACGAGTGTGTGTTTACGGCAGGTCGAAAGTGTCTGTGAGATGTAGTGCATTCGCTAAAGTGATCGTCCCATCGTGACTTTGCGACTTGATTTTCATTGCGAAAACGCATATGCCCAGCAGTACACGGACAATGGGCGGACGAAAAGCGAGCGTTCAGTTCGACCACTTTTGGGGACGGTCGGACAACTGCTGGTGGGCTGGTGGTGGGTTCAGACAGGTCAAGACAGAGGAGGAGGGAGTACCAGCAGGACGTGAAGTGACGCTATCGCACTCAACTGTCGATCGATCTACTGACGGTTTAAGTCCCATGAAGCCATCTGAACTCGCAGTACATAGTACCCGCAACGACTGACTTCTGGACTGCAACTACAGTCCACGGCACCATTTGCTATTGCAGTTCGTTGTCATCACCTCAAACACGTCTTGGCTCGATCGTGCATTGTCCTCTTGGCCTAAAACAATACGTAGGCGATCGAGTCGCCGAGTGTGCCACCAATCATCGTGCCAACACCTGGTCGCACTGCTGTGCCTACAGCTGCACCGATCCCTCCTGTGATGACGGCCAGTGCCGACCGAGAAGCATTGCGACCGGTGCTGGCCACGAACGTCGCCAGCGTATCCTCCTCGTCCTCGCCTTCCGTGCTCTGGACGCCCTCCTCAATCGAGCGCAGGTTCTTCTTGTGCCCGTGTCCATTACTTCTCGACATGAAGCGTCGGTAGAGAATGAAAATGAGCTGCTGGGTCTGTTTGTTTGCATTGCACGTGATACCATCAACAACTCGAAACCGTCACAAGACATTGACCACATACGCACACGGCGCAAGAAGCGCATGTTTTCCGCCCACACGGACAGAATGACATTGACCATCTCTTGACAGGGTATGCAACGTACCTCTTCCACCAGAAAAATAGCAACGTGACTCAGCACATTCGCACGCATGCCCGTTTTGACCATCAATGCCGCAGATGCTATCTTGCTCGACGTGCGTGCGTACTTGCGCGTAGCGGACTTGCTGATGTCTATACAGCCCCACAACACGAGACAAAGTCAATGTGAACAACACACACACATATATATATATATATATACAATCAGCACCACATTGAGCGCGACAAGTAGCACAAGCGCTACACGCTCAAAGCGTGACGTGCACCTTTGATGAGTTTGCTGACAATCTGCGGACGGCAGTAGCGCAGCGCGACCTCTTCCAGCGAGCGCACGTATGTCGTAATACTGAGCGACTTGCCGAACGACTTGGCACTTGCGAGACTGAACTCTTCCATCGACGGCGGTACAAACTCTTCCTTCTCCTCGACAGCGACATGCACGTCCTCAAAGTCGTCGTCACTCGACTCGTCCGACACGTCGAGGTCCAATGTAGCCATGTACGCATTCAGCACCATCATGCCCTGGAGTGCAGCCGACCGGACAGCCAAAATGGCTACATCTTTTGGATAAAAGTGCTTGAAAAACGGCTTCTTGTCCACGAGCAGGTACGTCTTGGACGGCTGCTGGGCGGCGACGACGCTCATCTGGAAGTGCAGTAGAGTCAGGTCTTGGCAATCCACAACAGCAGCAACAGAAGAAGTGGGTGCAGCCAATGGACGGCGATGGCTACATGATACGCACTGATCACATACGTTGTACCGCGGTCTCGAACGCGCCGAGAGAGCTCCAGCTAGTGGCTGTCGACACGGCAAATAGTGCGGATATTGCACCGGTATACCGATATGAGACGCGCCCTACAAAGAAATATTACAAACCAAAAGGCAGTCGTTGTTTCGCTACATTTTATGCAGCCTTTGTTGTGCAGCCCTTTGACAGTTACAGTATAAATCGATCGCTTTGGCGCAGCAATCCCCATGAATACTGGATAACATGCCGAAAAAACCTCACCTCGCCCATCGTTCCTCGATACGAATTCTGTATTTACCTCACGAGTCGTCGACTCGGTCGTGTCCATTTGTGGTATTGACAGTTTTTCGTCGACGTGGGCCGTGTGAATGGATTCCGCGTGTCTCGACCGCGTGTTCCGTCGCGACGCCTGTGCCGGACGCGTTGCGCTTGTGACAGGAGGCGGGTCTGGCATTGGCCAAGAGATTGCCGTCAAGCTCGCTGAGTACGGCGCCAAAGTCGCTGTGTTTGGCCGACGACAGGCAGCTCTTGAAAGGACTGTGGATCTTATGCGTGATCGCGGACTACCCGAAGGCTCTTGTATACGTATACAAGGCGATGTACGCTCGACGGAGAGCGCCGAAAAGGCTGTGCAGCAGGTGGTGGAGACATATGGCAAGTTGGATGTCCTGGTGAACTCTGCTGCGGGGAACTTTTTGGCTCTGGCCGAGAAACTGTCGACGAACGCGTTCCGGACCGTCATGGAGATTGACGCTATTGGGACGTTCAACATGAGTCGGGCAGCATTCGAGCCGCTGAAACGCAGTGGCGATGGACGGATTGTCAATATCACAGCCACACTGCAGCTCCCTGCGACGTGGTACCAAGTGCACGCGTCGGCGGCCAAAGCTGCAGTGGACAGCATTACCCGCTCATTGGCGCTGGAGTGGGGACAATTTGGTATTCGTGTGACTGGTGTCGCTCCTGGACCGATTGCAGATACGGCTGGCACGGCCAAATTAGGAGGAGACAGAGACGCGGCAGCGAGGAAGGAATATATAGCCAGTACGATCCCTGTGGGTCGCGCCGGTGCTAAGACGGACATTGCTGCTGCAGTGCTGTACTTGGTGTCCCCCGTAGGCAACTTTGTGTCTGGGGAAGTGCTGATTGTCGATGGAGGACACTATTTGTACAAGAAACCCATCATGTCTCGTGCGGCACTTGAGCACTGGTCCAAGACGATGGAGAAAAAGTCACGCGTCGTGGCCGACTCGAAGTTGTAAATACAATGTGTGTGAGTCACTACTTTGGTTGCAAACGGTGTAAACGATTCTGGTTTCAGCGTAAGGAACGTGGGCACTTTGTACATGTATGATGCAAACCTCAAGTTGCAGTACCTGACCTTAGTGTCATTATGCTTGATCGCGATATTCCGGTGAGTGGTTGTGGATGTTCGTACGTGTTGCGATCCAAGTATTCACCGTATCGTTTCGACGGTCGGTTCTGCTGGGTTCCACAAGAGGCCTGTAGCAAAACACAATGGTTGATGATCCATTCTTCTCTTGTGGTACTTGCCTCGACGGACACAGAACCTCTGACTTCAGGATGAAGTCCATGCAACCAATACTGCCGTATGGTCTCGTTCATGCGTGGCAAAGGCAACCTCTAGCACAATCAATCAGCACGTCGTACGATGTCGACCATTAGTGATTTATCTGAGCCGAACGTCGGTCAGGTGGTCATCTTGCAAAATGCCTTCAACTTGCGGATTTGGAGCTCGCTTGGAGGTCATGCAACTAGTTGCGCTTTCTCTTGTGTATCTTAATGTGTGCGCCCTGATTGTTCCGTTACGATCGACTTCAACGACGGTCACTGTCCACGGCACAACAAGATCGAAGAACGCACTCTCCAATGCGTCACGCGCGTCATGCAAAGCTGCCTATTTGCTTTCTTCTCTAGTGCTTGTCAAAGTATAGCAGAATGAACTCGACTCACTCTGTCGCTGTTTGCAGTGGACTTTCCCCGGTGGGTGTGTGGGTCCTATATGAAGCTGATCCCAGATCAGTGGACATCAAACAGTAACCATAAGCGTAATCATACTCGCAACGAATGGCAGACACACGTCCACACCCACATCTGCAGAGCCGATCGCTAGCGCAATCATTCGTTTCGTTCGTCGACAATTGTAGGATGTCTTAACGTGCAACGTCTTCGCAGTAGAGCACGTCTACGTCTCGCTCAATACGACGCAACAGTCCATATATGCTGTGAGACAAGCAATCGAGTTTATCAATTGCAATGGCATTTATTACTAACAGATGCGTGATCAAAGTATCTTGGCACCAGGACCGAGTCCAGCGTGTGAACCTCTCTGCTGTCCTCAACCGTAGCTCACCATTGGCCTGCGACATCAGCAGCAGCACATTAGCAATCTCCTCAATCCCTTACAATTGCTCCACTACACAGCAGTAATGCGTGCTCACTGGTTCAGCAAACTCTGGCGCTCTTCCAGCGTCGAGCCGCTGAGGTCTCGATCTTCCCGTCCGCTCTTCCTCGTCTCCTTGTAATAGACCATGGACGACACGACAAAGAGCGTCCCGTATAGACACGCAGACTCAAAGATGGACACGGAACTCGCAGCGCTCTTGCTGATCTTGAGGTACTCGGGTTGCACCTTGATTAGGATCCCCACCAGGAACAAAAAGAGGAACCCGCAGAGCGACAGCAGCGAGCAGCTCAGCGCCCCTGTCCATCAAATCAAGAGCAGCACCGGAGAAAGGGGTTCATAGCGTATGGTCAGTCGTTTCGTTATCGTCAAGTGGATCGTTGAGCGCCGCGACGGCCGTCGTACAAAAGACTTTATTCGACATGTCGGAGTAGTCGTGACGTCTGGCGTAGGGAATAGATATATCGATAGTATCTGTTCGAATGATCAGATAGAGTGCTATTTACGGACACGGATTTGAAACGTGCTGCGAGCGTCGGGACTTGTTGGTTCGAACATGATTTACAAAGTCGCGTGTTCTGATTCGTAGATAATCCACTGCTTAGAAAGACGGCGCACATCGGCGAACCCATCACTGTTTCTAAACGACAGACAGACTGACTGACTGACTGACTGACTGACTGTCGTCGAGTGGTCTAAACTTCTGTCCAGTACGAGTCAGTCAGTTTGAAAAAAAGGTCGTCGTCACTCGCTCTACCGACACAAAAGAAGAAGCAAAGGCAGAAGCAGAAGACAAAGACGAACAGTATGTACGACTTTTGCCTCACGATTCCAGTACGTTCTCGTCGCACCTGACGCGCACCCCACGCCCCAATTCTTTTTCGATTCTCGTCTTGTTTCGATTGCATACGTACTCGCTGCTGCTTTGTATCCGTATGCAAAAACGCACAAACACTTCTGGCAAACGCATGTAAAGAGTGCTAATAGTTGTTCACTTGTGCATTTCTTGTTCTTTTTCAACGCTTTAGTACGGTGTCGTGCTGGGTGTCGGTGGCTTAGCAGGTTTTGCCTTCTCCGGCAGCACCACGTCACTGGTAGCTGGCGGTCTGTCCGGCGCTTTCCTGAGCTTTGTGGGCTACTGTAGCTACAATGAGTACAAGCAGAGCCCCGTGACGTCCAAGCTCTGGCCTGCCATCTCGCTGGCCGTGTCCGCGCCGCTCGCTGTTGTCATGGGCAATCGCTTCATCAGCACGAACGTCTTTTTCCCTGCGGGTCTCGTCAGTGCATACAGCGCCGGCATGACGGGGTTCTACGTATGGCTGCTGTGCAAGCAGAGCAAGCCTCAGTACAAGAAGAAGAAAGTGTAGAGGAGAAGTTTGTCCGGTGTGCTGCCATGTCAATACCACCTCGTTCGTGAGCAGTCGCTGTGGCTGTTGTGTTTACTGTTGTTGTGTAGCTTGAAGACGCTACTGGCTGGACTGATGAGCTACTTGTGAAAGAAGCAGGACAAGGGGTTGGCCGCATTAGTCGAGTCGTCTTTGTTGTGCTACGCTCAAAAGCAAGCGCGATCGCTAGTTCTGGAACATGACCATGTGTGTGCTTACTGACATGCAGTAGTATATCTGTTCGAGTATTTGGCTCCGAACAAGGCAATAGTGGCGTGGTGGTCGACGCAGCCATTTAGATAGTGTTGGAACGGGAACGCACTGCAGTGCCTTGTTGTTGAAGGTAAAATCTGTTGTTTGATGACTTCCCCTCTCTCCTGCCACGAATATCGTCTGCAGCGTTGACGGCTACGTAGCGTACGAATGGCAAGAAGAGTGAAAGTTGTCCTTGTACCTGAACGAGCTACTTGCTTGTTGAATATCAGTGCAAGTCTGATGTCCTCCGCCAACCTCAGACACGACATTGCAAGCTGCCTCCCAGCTTCGTACTGCCGTTGACGTACACACGATTAGACAGCGCGTGATTGATGCACAAATGATACGAGTTGATGCCCATAACATCCATCGCATGTCACTTCGCGTCGAGAGGGCTCCAAACAATTGTTGACTACGACGATAGCGGTAGGACAGGCAAGTTCAAGAAGGCTCTCCGCTAGACCACAATGGTCGCTTTGAATCGATCCTGTGTAGTTCATACAAAACGACGAGGATACCGTTGTTGCCAACATCTCAGGATCAATACGGGTCGACTTTAGGCAGCGTCGGTTGCCGATAATATGGCGACGGATGTACTTACAGCGTGCACCCATGTGAGCAAATCAGGAAACTAACAAACAACGATAGCCCTTGTTTCGTATGCGACGCTCGTGTGGTAGATGGCCTACGAAACTGATAGTGGGTGGCTGAAGTCAGTGCTGTGCACCACCTAAGCGTACCCGTCCTCGAGTGAAACGTACCAGGGCAAAGTGAACGCGTGCCGACTTTTTACCTGCTATTCAGCCACAAGAGACGTGCGATGGACCAAAGTGATAACTATGCAGCGATAATTGCCGCTGCTGTATTCTTCGATCAATATCCGTCTACACTTACTGAGCCTTTGCCTGGTCCCTTAGATGCAACGGTCCCCATAGCTGAGCAGCCAGTCTTAACGTGCACACGACCACGAGGTGAGCAGACCACGTTGAAGTTACTGTACCCATTTCACCTCTGCCAATCAGCGCGACGATCGTTTCGGTTGACAACTCGATGCTTTCCGCCACGTGGTGAACCGCGTAGCACATGTCCACCCACGCAGCAACTACGAATCAGATCGTTTCTACCTTTTATATTAACCAATCAAAACAGACCAACGTCGTGGCAACACGACCCGTGCAAAGCAATAAGAGCTCCTGCTGCTGCTGCTGCTGCTGCTGCTGTTTGCACCGTTTGCATCGCCTGTCTGTCTGTCTGTCAACACCCGACGCGTGCCACGCCACCTCCATTACCAGCACTGTCAGCAGCTACCGATCTACGCGGCACTTTTCTTCGGCTTGTGGCCGCGCGGGAGCTGCACGCCCAGTGCGCGATTCAGTTTCGAGATGATCTGTCCATTCGGAATCGCGCGGCCCGACTCGTAGTCGGCAATGACCTGTGGTTTCTCATTAATGAGCGTGCCCAGCTGCTTCTGGTTCATCTTCTTGGCCATGCGCGCCTTCATGAGCGCCTGCGACAGACTACGGTCCACCACGTCGTGTTTAAAGTGCTCCGTGTCTTCCTCGAGCTTGCGGGCGTTCACAGTCGCGCCGCTGTGCGCGCCCTTGTTCGTCCCGGCCCCGTCTGTCGCCCCCAATAAGTAGAGCCACAGCACAGCACACCAAGTCAGTCCGGTCCAAACCCTTAACGAACAACGTGTGGGCGTGTATTGACCAATCACAGACGAGCACACACCAGCCCGTACATTTGGTTTCCGTGACCACGTCACCCGTGCGACGCGCGCTGTTGAGCATCTGCTGCTTCGCTGCGCCGCGAGGGGCCGGGCGGCTGCCCCAGCCAGCTGGTTCCCAGTCCTGTCCTTGCGTAAAGTTGCTCATCGTCTCGCGCGTCGCTCGTTCGCTGCGCTCTGTGGGACACCTGTGCGCTCGGTGGGCTTCTCCAAAGTGAACGAACGGTCGGACTCTTGTCCAAGACGGACGCAGGGACCATCACTCTGGCCTGCGTTCCAGAACGTCTTGTCAAACAGAAGAGGTGGTAGTATCCTCTTTGACTGTCTGCCTAACCGTATGCGATGCGAAATGGTGTGGCGGACACCATATTGGTGTGCCCAACACACCCACTGGCCACGCACTGGGCAGATTGATCGACCGAGTCCGCTAGCGAGCGACCTTGAGCAAGCAAGCCAGCATGGTGAAGACAGCAGGGCCGGACCTGAAGCGATACATGGACAAGCGACTGAGTCTCAAGCTGAATGGCAACCGCAAGGTCTCGGGCGTGCTGCGCGGGTTTGACCAGTTTATGAACGTCACGCTCGACGAGACGGTCGAAGAGGTCTCGGCGACAGAGTCCAACCGCATTGGCATGGTGGTAAGGCGAGCGCTTATTGGACGAAAGAGCTGGCATCGGGTCACGGGTCCGCGTGCAGTACTGACACGATAACCGCGGTGGGCTGTCCTATCTATGTCAGGTCATTCGCGGCAATAGCATCGTGCAGTTCGAGTGCCTCGAGCGGGTCTAATCGACGGCGACGGAGGCCACAAGTGACGCGCGCGCTACCCGACGTCGATGCGTGTCGTTTTGACTTGGATTCATCGCTGTGTCAAGTCAACAAGTGCTGTGATGGAGGCTGCACGTGATTGGCACCATGCGGCGCTTTTGCCACCGTCAACGTAATAAGCTGAGGACCACGAGATATCTAAAACAGGTTTATAACGGGTTGTTCCACGCCAACACGAGTAAAAGCATCATCATCTTGATGGCGACACTGTTCCACTACGCTGAAATAGCATCGAAGCGTGTCGCCTTTTCACTTGCGGCGTACACTATCATAATCTACGTTAGGTGCTGCGGGTCGAGTCGCTAGTAGCGCCCCCGACCACCTCCAAAGCTTCGCCCGCCGCCACGGCCGGCCCCACGTCCACCGAATCCACCGCCCCGTCCACTGAAACCACCACCTCGTCCACTGAATCCTCCGCGGCCACCACCGCGACCACTGAAGCCACCGCGACCTGCACTGCGACCACCGCCTCGTCCACCGCGAGCACCTCCACGACCGCCGCGACCAGCCCCGGCTGGTTTAGTCCCTGACTTTTCAGTGAACCGACTCAATGGAAGCAGCTTGTCTGGACTAATAAACACTTTGTCTCCATTCTGGAACGACGTTGCGGACACGCCCGTGTCGGGCTTGACTGTGAACATGACTTCGTTGATCGACCCGAGGATCTCGTCCACTTTGCCGATACGGGTCTTGTTTTCCAAGAAAGCGCCAGCGTTAAAGTACGGCACTTTGTCGTTTGTGCTCTTGTACACCATCTCGTTCTCGCATGCGTGCATGAACGACCCCAGCTCTACCAATGCAGTTACGCCAGCGTTAGACCATGGACAAGTCCTCACACATTCACGTTTTAGTCAGTGATCAATACGCACCAACGACGAAAGCGGGCGGGCCTTCGGGTTCGCGAAAACCGCCACGACCGCCACTGCGTCCACCAAAGCCGCCGCCACGAGCTCCACCACGTCCTCCGCGGAATCCACCGCGTCCCCCTCGAAACGACATGACCGCTGGGTGTATCTGGTAGCTACAGTGGGTGATGCCAACTGCACGTGCCCGACGACTCCGTTCAGCCAACCAATGGCGAACGTCCCAATTGGTCCGATTTTCAGCAAATTGGAACACCTAGCAGCGAAAAGCAGCGTAGTCTCGCTGGCCATGGTCGTATGCGGCTTATACAGCATAGCAAGGCAGGTTTATGAGGATCCAGCGTACGGACGCAGTACTCGAATATCTCCATGGAAGAATTCCAGGGAAAATCGATGCAATAATCATCATCTCTTTTCAATGACGTGCTTCAGGGCTCAACGTACCGGCTGTTCAACTGCCGGAACGGGCATCATGTGTAGCATAATGGCCTTTCCTGGGCGCGTAATGACCCGATGATCCAAGCGCGAGCAATAACCTTCGATTGCCTACAGCATTCGTCACCAATCTCGGTTGTCAAGTCTTCTGCCTAGAGCTTGAGGGGAGCGTGGCCACAGCAGGCGTGCTCGATTGGTCCACCTATGCTCCACCCAGTCGAACAGATAGGTCACGGCAAGACGCTCGACCTTGTGGGTGTATTGTCCACTGGTGCAAAGTTGCGGCGCTTTGTTCATGGTAACAAAAGCCCTCTCGGAGTAAACGACTGTATCGTCGTCAATGCCAATTTTGAGTTTACAACGTGGACCCCAAGCCACTGCAGCTTAGCGGCTTGTGCATCGTTCATAACTGATGGGTCGTTGTCGGTTTTGTTGTCGGAATCGCCTCGCGATATCTCCATGATCTTTGATGTGTCTATATCACAAGCTTGTGGGTAATGAATGTACAGACATTCCTACGTCTTTAGCCTGCTGGCTTGGTTGCATACGTTTGAACAAGGATGGATGTAGAGAGTCGATCGAACACGATTCGGACACGCACATGCGTCCTGTGTTCTGTGAGTTGCATGTCTGCGTCTGATAGAAGGACATCTTGCCGCCCGGGTTCGTTTGGCTTCCCGCAGGTTGGACCCGTGTGATACAATGTTGTGAGGGATGCAAGAACAGTACGACAAGTTGGCGAAACGCCACGTATTCGCTAGAAAGACTCTACGTCTACCCCGCTTTGCGAACGCGATGGCCTTCTCAGAACTTCCAACAGCATCCACATCGGTCGCCACCCATGCGCCACAAAACAGGTAGAGTGATGTGACTGTGCCGTTCGGTAGGCCAAAAAACAATCGAAGTACGTCTCTCGGTGAATTTCACACCACGAATGAGCTGAATCCAAAGCCAAACAGCGTATGGATCTCATGGCTGATGCCGGATCCGACCCTGTGAGTAGTCATCTAGATATCACAATGCATGTGCAACGTCTCTAGCCACTTTGTCCGGTCAAATGAGCCAAGTCTTGCAAGTGCAGGAAAAGTGACGAACACATTGCGTACACTGGTTGTAAGACAATGCGTAGTTGGCAACCTGACTCGGCTCTCTGACTGACATCAAATACAAAGTGCACTGCAATCGTGTGTGCATCAATACGTGCACGATTGATCATTTTGGCACGACTGCGCTACAAAAGAACTCGTACTGTCCGTATCATGTAGTTCTACCAATCTGCTCCACTCGGACGTAAACGGAACTCCAGACGTGGCAGGACGAGGTAGCACGACGGGTCAGTAGAAGTAGTCGGAGACCGGGTGTACGGCATTCATCCTAGACATGACATCATAAGCTGTAAACACGCTGCGTAACCTGTCGCTTCACTCTATTCGTTGCGAGTTCTCTCGTACTTGTTGGCTTCGCTTTCCAGTATAGCTCCAAGTATGTGAAACACTACGAGCAAGGTATTCCAGCAGTAACAACAAGCATCCGCTGCGAACCGTACAAATACTCCTTTCAGACCTTCGCTGCATAGGTTTTCGTTCGGTGCAACAAGGTCTTTTACAATACAGAGTAGCAGCCAAGCGCCTGTCCGATCGTAACATGTCATACATCAGGGATATGTCTGCAGTCCACAACGCGGCGATTGCTGTCCGTAGAACGGATCGTCACTAGCTACAAACCCACACGACAAGCATCTGTCCGTCTTCGACACACATCGCTCGATGACACATCCGGCATGGAAACGACTATGCTGTCAGTGACGATCTTACCAATCTCGTCGGTGGTACCAGTTTCGTCGTAGTGTGGGCGAGTAAAGAGTATGAGAGCGCCTCTGAAACCACAACCAGGATGAAAACGCCATCAGCTTGTCTCGATGCGAGCATGTGGTGGGTAGATGGAATGCGCCAACGCTGTCTTTAGTTGGACCTCACGTACATTGTTGGAAACATGCATCAAGCAATTACATCGTGTCGGGTACGACCTCTCGGCACATGTGTTTGATAACAAGCATGATGTACTCAGCACAGCAGGAAGGTTGCGTAACACTCTCTGTGCGTGAACAAACGATGGCTGATGACTCTACAACAAATGGACATGCGCTCTTCGAGACACAAAAGTGAATTACAACCACGTCATCGTGTTTCCGACTACGCCATGATGACATGTGCTACCATTTTTGTTCTTCACCCCGCTATGAATGTTTCCTACTCCAGGCCTTGGCCACCAATTCCTCAATCGCGTAAAAATTAACCAGCCCTTCTACCTCCAACTTGTCATGTACGAACTTCGGTGTTTTCTTCTCAACGAACCATTGATAAACCAGTACAGCCTGTAACTGCCTTGCCCACTCCTTACCCTCCTCACTTTCCCCACGTATCAGTTGGACGATCATCGATGACAGAGCCTCCTCCCCATAGCATGACTTGAGCACATCGACCCATGCCTTGTATTCCGAGCCAAGATATTGGTGATAATTACGTGCGTACACCTCCCAAGTCCTTCGCTCTGGGTGGTCGTAAACTTTCGCCACATCAGTGTCCAGCATGAGCAGCTTGAACACGTCTTGAGGAGGCACACGTTTCTCCAGCCATCGGTCAGTTAACATCGTTTGCAGATCGTTGGCCAACCTACTGGTGAATTCGTCTTGTTTCGCCGCTGCCAGTAGCCACGAGAGCGTCTCGTCAAAATAGCGGCGGCAAAGAACCTCAAAGAGTTCCTCTTTCGTTAACAAACAATGTCTACTGGCGTACCGAAGCCAAATGCGGAATGTAAGATGGTTCACATGGTCGGCCACGTGGAGCTTGAACATACCAAAGATTGCACCTTCGCTGATGCCGGCTGCCTTCCACTGTTTCATCTGCTTCTTCTGAAGATTGGTGAAAAGGATTTCGGCTGGAGACTTCTTGACTTGAGGCTCGTGTCGAGACTGACGTTTCGCCACTTCAACCATCTTCGCCTCTTCAATCATCTTTGCCAGATCGTCTGGATTGTAGTGCTGCGTCAAAATCAGCAGTATTGATTCCTTCTTATCAGGAAACTTAGAGTTGAAATCGTTCAGATGCGCGGCCCAGACAAGGAACTTGGGTTCCTGAAAAAGACTCTTGCCGCGCTCGTTGAGGCAAAGTTGCATAAACGCATCCTCCATAGGCGTCATCTCGCGTAACGATTCCAGATGAATGGCTTGGCTGTCTACAAGACGGATCGGTCGAATCAACTTAAGAACACGTTCAACGAAGGGCGATCGTTCTTCAGCTTGCCCGGCCGTGGAGGACGGAATGCGCCTGCTGGAAGTGGGTCGAGTTATATTCAGCGAACCAGGCCGAGTAGAGGCAGTGGGTGTCGAGTCTGGCGCCTCCGAATGCACACTCGCGAAGTAGACGGTCGTGCACAGGAGAAGGGAGACGGATGGACGCATTGCTGTGTATAGCAAACGTGCTGGGTCTTGGACTGGAGCTGACCAACGACGATGGAGCGCAAAGTGAAGCGTAGAGGGGCCGCACTTGACAATGACGATCAAAGCGGAGATAGCTGTGCAGGCGAACTGAACCGTCGAGTGGCTTGGGAGGCTTTAGTTGACCGAAAGACGGGAAATCGCGAAGTGACGCATGTCAGTTGTTGTCGGGAATGAAGACTAGGCACTATTGCACATCTATTAATGTGTTCATAACGCTGAGCAAGCAATGTGAGTAAGCTTGATCGACCAAGTGGACGTGTTTTCACGTGTCGCGTGTCAGGTCGTAATCTGCGATCGGAGTTCGGAAGGGAACTTGCCTGAGGCTCATCACCATCCTGGATGAGGTGAGTCTCAGCCAGATCAGTAAATGCAATTTTGTATGCATACGCTTCTAGAAGTCTTTTTTCGCTGCGTGCGAGCTTGATGACGCCGACTTGCGTGTGAGTTCGGATGACGAGCAGGATTGCGCACCTTGGAGTTCATTCATAGGCACACAGCCTCTCCGCTGCCGCTTGATGACGCTAGATTGCGCTGCGCCTGATCATGACGCCGACTTGAGTGTGGGTTTGGATGACGACCAGATGATTTGCACATCTTGAGTTCAGCTTCTGGTCTGCCTCGTGAAGCAAAAGATGCTGATCGCACAAGGGTTACACAACGTGCTGGTTTGCCATTCCATCTACACATAATGTTGAGTGAATCTGCCGTGATCCAATGCCAGTGCTTATCGATATGCGTGCAACGCACCCCAACCTCGTGGTATCCATTTCCCAACGTGTGCCTCTATCAACAACGGCCAAGCGACGAAGGCCGACGAGCCGGGCAAACGGGCCTATCTCTGTGCGAGCCGGGCAAACGGTTCTTTCTCTATGCGACATCTCATCTTCAGTAGGGCCCAGGTTCAAGGGGGAGGCGTTCTTGCTGTCGCGTGCGCTACGGGAGGCAGCGCAGCGTGCAACCCGAAACGGAGCAATAATCAAGACACCCCGAAGGAAGAGCTCGGCAAATGCAGTTGTCACCCCCCCACTTAGTTCCTGCTATTCTACGCCAGCCTTGAGCTCCCCGGTCCAGTCGCCGAGCAAGCTTCCCGGTCCCACGAAGAGAACGTGCCTAGAACGTGATTTAATCGGACCCGTCCAGGCTCGTCAGCGGCCCATCGGGACTTATCGGAGTGGTAGAAGGCGTTTCCAGCGGCTTCAGCGCCCTGTCTACACCCCGGGCTGGATACCCGATTTCACACGCCCTGTGCGAAATGTTCCCCGTGACGCCCGCCGTCTCGAGCCAGCAGACTGAGTCAGCCAGGAGGAGAATGAAGTAGTCTAGGTAGGAGCACACCGATATTGTATAGGCATAAGGCCAAATCGACGTTGAGGTTCTCTCTCTCTCTTCTCAGTGGTATCCAGCTTGTCTCCGGTGGCTCTTTTTCGGCTACTCATCTTTTTTGCAGTCCGAGACGCTGTGACACGTATCTCATTGGAATGTGGTCGCGTGCAGATTATGTTGCAGCACGAGATAGGCCATAGCAGGACGAGGAAGGTACAGCAGGGACAGCCTCGCAGTCGCATAAACAGTGTCCTGCGAAAAAGAACGTTTTGTGCTGGAGTCGCCACCTCCCATGGCTTCTACTGTTTCTACAGCAGACAATCGAGTGACGTGGCTCATTACACTGTTGCTATTGCTCCTGGTTTAAGAAAGTCAGAGGATGCGATGGTTTAACTGTCACGAGACTCGGCATTCTCACCAGTCTGTGTGAATCTAGCAACGCGCCGGAACAGCATCGTCGAACAATCAGTCTGCAGGTCGTATTATCAGAAAGAGGCTATCGATCTTATCGACTACGTCATTACGCTAGGTTGTCGGTAAGACTGATAATGATAGGCAATCGACTAGCATTCCCGAAAGCAGCGAAAAATTTGGGCCGCCCTGGAATTTATTGTGCAGTAGGCCGGTTGTAGTACGAATGAAGTCTCCGAGTCTTGATGGCAAGCGCTTATACACGACAAGGGGATATTCAAATAATCTCTACAAGGTGCGAGGTCGCTTCTCACTCATCATGGATCGCGCAGGCCTCCATTTGCACACACGAATCTTTCACGGAGGCCCAACCACTTGGCCTTACTTCAAAGTAGACAATATCATATACTAATATGCGCTAAGAAAGAGATTCGGCCCCCCTTATATATCTGCAATCTAAGGCATCATCCAATTCGAATGTTGCAGTCTTTTTTTACAAATGCCAACACATTCGTACAACCTTGACCTTTTTCCACTTGTGCTGTCCAAGAAAATAAGCTCCTTTCTTGTACCCATACCTCTTTCTGCACGTTTTGCCGTTATAGGCGTATCCGAAAAATCGAAGCGAAAGAATTCTGACTTACAAAGCTCTAAGAAATTATTCTTGTAAGTAGCTGCCGCTTTTGTAGTAAATTTTCCGTTTTTTACATTATCAATTCTCTCTTGTGACAGCTCACAGGTATTGAAAATCATTGCGGTGATCCTTTCGCTCACCTCAAAACAAAGAAAACAGACTTGAGTGTACGTTTGACGATAAATAGCTGCAATGTGTAGCGGGTAGCTTACGCTTACTTGATGACAAGGAAGGCACCTGCATTGATAAAAGCGTAGACGGGTATACCAGAATCGCTTGTACACTATCGCGGAGAAGGAGCGTATAATTAACAAACGTACCGCCTCGTTGCATATTGGAAAAACAGCATTTATTACAATGAAAGTTTTCTACAACTATTTGTTCTAAACCCTCCTTCAGTTACTTTCTTATTGCACATGCGCAGACTGACTAGATGCTCGCTACTCATCAAGTGTAACGAGGCACTAGAAGCTTGCACTGACACAGCATTAGCTACTCACGCTACCTACAGTGTGAGCAGGTTGATCTTTACGTCACACATGCTATAAGTGCAGAGAAAAGGTGGATCCAGTAAACGAGCACGCTTCGTAGAAGGAACCAGCAGGATTGTATTTTATTATATAGTTCAGTCTCCTAAAATAGAATCGTTTTGAGCTTGCATTGACTATGATGAAATACAAACTCCTGATACAGCTACCTGCTCGCCACCCGCCGCGCGCGTCTAGCGGTGATTGGCAATCAATTTATTTGGCTGATTAGCTGATACCAACCAATGAATGGAACAGAGACGTACATTAGTTTCGACGGTAATCTCCTTCAACATTTACTTACCAAAGTAAATATTGAAGTCGCATTATCAATCTAGAACATATTCTCGTTGACCCGTTTTTGGTGTCAATGACATATAACGAGCTCTTCATTTCCCTGCTTCTGTCACTTCTAACTACAGACATTATTTGCGTCACATAGCCTATACCGTCCAGTGCGTAGCGTGTTAGCTTCTGCTCACTATTTAAATTAAATAAATATTGTTGAACATTGTCCTTCACCGGATTGCTGAGAACATAAATCACAGTAAGTAAATCTGATCGCACAACATCGAAAAGACAATTCATGCAAATACAGTCGAGTCTTAGGACAGAACATGACCAAAGAATATCGTAATAAAAATTGCGCATCGATCCACCGATATTTTGATCCTCGTGGAGGCCATGTGTTTGTCTCATTGCCATCGCTTAGGTCAAAAAAGCCAAATGTTCGTCCTCGGTTGGTTATTAGAGATAAAGAACAAGTCCTAGGAAGCGTCCTTCGTAAAGAACTATGCCAGCTAACGGCAATGAACTCTACGCCTAATACTGATGAAGGGAGAAGTGAAAAAAGCGAAGGCATCGTTATCGTCGCGCTACCAGTCAATGTTTGATAAAAAAGATGATACCATCACGACAACACTCCAATAAAAATTATAAAACTGTGTATCAACAAAAACTGGCTTTGCGTTTGTTTAAACATTGCATTACAAGGGCACTAATATGGTGACACCAAATAAGACAACGTCGACGGGAGGATGACGACCAACAATCTTCGTCAAGTCGAAAGGAATGATGAAAATCGGCGTTCTATGCTGACGATGAAGACACTTTATGCACATAAAAACAGCATCACACGGGTTATCGATGGACTATGCGTGGCGGCCAAGGTTTACAGATTCGACAACGAGCGGGGGAAATTGCTAAACATTCGGTCCCATGTAGAGAGCAAAAAAGGACCGTCAAGTGCAAGGGCAAGCGATGAAAGTCTTACGATGCAGTCAAGGGATTAATCAGCTCACACGGGCTAGATAAGACGCACCATACTTGAAAATGAGCGGTGTGGATTTTTCTTGATGGTCTTTAAGAAGAATGCCGAGAGCTTATGTTGCCAGGTGCTCACGAAGACGCAGCAAAGGTGTAGCATACTTAGTGATGCCTCCATGGAAAATCAATGCTCCCACATCGACCAGTCAGCAAGGTCAAATTACTAGTCGGCTAGACGTCAAGAAAATGAACTTGTGCGTAACATTCTACAACGCCTGACCGGTTTCGCGTGCACGGAGAAGATCCAATACGATAAGGAGGCGAGGAAAGAGACGAACATGCTTGACATTTACTGCTTCATGGAGGCATTAACGTCTTGATACTTTTTATTTGTCCGGAACAAGTCGACGGCACTCCAATGTGTCGAGAAGATTATCATACATCGCCCACTCGACAAGAAAAGAAAGCAGTATAATCGAGTGAGCTTAAGTCAAACCCGGGTTACTCGGTGAAGTGAAAGCTTAAAAATGCATCAACGAAGAAGCGGAATGCCAGCGTCCGACGATCGAGAGTGAACGAGAAGGACGGTACGAAGGCCGCCACAACGACAACCGCAGCAGCAGTGTAAAAAACCGTATTGTTAGAGCAGGCAACTAATCTCGTCGGGATGATAGAAAAAGTGGTCGATATATCAATCGAAGAACGGCGCTTGTCGCAGCAAAGACCAAATATATGGAAAAACACTCGATGAGGAGGTGGTGAAGAGATACCACCGTTCAGTATGACTAGTGGAATAGAGA